TTCCAGGGCAGCCTTTGATGCTGTCTCTTCTTCACATACTTGGAGACAAGGAGGCATCATGTAGCTTCATCTTCACCCATAGATTTCATTTTACCGTCTCTGTGTCACAGGCAGAGAGTTAAATCAACTTTTGTAAACAACTCTTAAGAAAAAAAAAAAAAACCATTGCCATCAAGTGGATTCCAACTCAAAGCAACCCCATGTGTTACACAGTAGAACCGCTCCATGGCGTTTACCTGGTTGTAATCTTTACAGAAGCAGATTGCCAGGCCTTTCTTCTGCAGCACTGCTGGGTGGGTCTGTAGCCAAGAGCAAACCATTTGCACCATCCTGGGACCTGAACAACTCCTAGACAGTGTTTAAAACGGATACAAAGCCATTTCTGAAGCCTAGATTACACACTTTGCTTGTACTGTGTGGGTTTTCTCTCAAGGATTATCCTCTCTCCTCTTTACTCTTTACTTTGCCATCTGGCCCTTAAGAAGCAGGCAGCAGAGGCCAGCGCCACCGAGCAGCCAACAGTGAATGCAGCCTGGCTCCAGAGAGGAGGCGTCAAAGGAAGGAGGAGGAACTTGAGCTTTTTTTTTTTTTAATTTGCTGAACCTTTTGAATTCTTCCCCAAGGCTTGGAGTTTGGCAGAAGTAATGATTCAGGTTTGTCCTGGGCACATTCTCTGTGTCCCTCTGGGAAATATCATCTGTGTGTTTTGAATTTATTTTTTGCTTGACTTATCAAAATACTGTTGCACAAGAGACTCTAGATGTCCAAGGAGCTTACTTTCAAAATAAATGTCTTTTATTTTTGCCTTTGGAAATGGCTAATCACATTTTATCAACAGTCAGCAGCCTTGTCTCTTGGAAAGATTGAATTTGAAACTTGGAACTCCTGCTTCATATACCAACCTAGGGAGAAAGGTGTTTTTTTTTGGTTTGGGGGTTGGGGGGTGGCTACCACTACTTCCTAATGTTTTTCAGGGTATAAAATGCCCAGGTCTATATGACAAGTGAAGGTTTTGAAATGAAAACTTTAGGAAAATGATGGCTCATTTTATAATTTTAGGGTGATTTTAAACAAAAAGAATAATTCCCACATCTGTATGATGGGGAGAGAGAGTTATAGATGATTTACAATAAGGAGTCTAGGTTCTTCAGAGACTCTTAGTATTCATATGTTAGATCTTCTTTGCCTATCTTCTCTATTTGTGAGTTTTTTTTAAATCCTGTTTTTCTTTATTCTTTTTTGATTAGAAAATGTCTGTCCTTTGTTATGGCATTACCTGTTGTGTTTCTTTGCTCTTGAGTTCCTTCTAGTTCAATCTTCATTTCTATAGTGATTCTCTCCTTTTATTTCTATTTATTCCTTGGGTGCTATTCTAACACCTAGTTTTTTAGTTTTTAAATACTTGGTAGAGGGTCAGCGAAACAGAGGAAGAACGTCGATGAGATGGATTGACCCAGTGGCTGCAACAATGGGCTCAAACATAACAACGATTGTGAGGATGGCACAGGACCCAAGCAGTGTTTTGTTCTGTTGTACATAAGGGTCACTATGAGTTGGAACTGACTCAACAGCATCTAACAACAACAACAATAAATACTAATATTATTGTTCTTTCTTATGTTGTATAATTTTCTTTGTTTATTTTGAAGGATTAGGATATAGTTTTCATCTATTTAGTGCACATGTCTTTCTGGCATGCTTTCATTGTCTATAGGGATGTTTTTAATCTTCCTTTTATATAAGCATAGAAAGATAAAGTGATTTTCTCAAGACTCTACAGCTACTAAGTGGCAGAGCAGGTTCACACCCATGTTTATCTGGCCCCAAAGCCTGTAATCTTTCTACTAATATTTATCATATACTGTAAGTCTGCTCTGTACCAGATAATTTACAAACAAAATTTATTTAATATAGCATCCTGTCAGTTTTATTACTGATAAGGCTCAGAGAGTGTTATGGATTGAATTGTGCCCCCTAAAAATATGCCCCACAAAAACCCTACTATATCTGTGGTTATGATCCCATGGTAATAGGGTTTTCTTTGTTATGTGAATGAGGCAGTATTAGTGTAGGGTGTGTCTTAAGTCAATCTCTTTTGAGATATAAAAGAGTAGATTAAGCAAGCAGCAGAAAAAGCAGAGATGGGGGAAGATAGATGCTAAGCCACATGAAAATTGCCAAGGAACAGAAGCTCAGAGGAGACAAGGACTTTCCTCCAGAGTGGACACAAAGAGAAAGCCTTTCCCTATGGCCTGCACTCTGAATTCAGACTTCTAGCCATCTGTCTTAGTTTTCTAGTGCTGCTATAACAGAAATACCACAAGTGGATGGTTTTAACAAACAGAAGTTTATTCTCTCACATTTTAGGAGGCTAGAAACCCAAATTCAGGGTGCCAGCTCTAGGGGAAGGCGTTCTGTCAGTTCTGGGGGAAGGTCCTTGTCATCACTCTTACCCTGGTCTAGAAGCTTCTCAGCTCAGGGACCTGGGGTCCAAAGAACACGCTCCCAGGGATTCTTCCTTGGTGCTGTGAGGTCCCTATCTCTCTGCTGGCTTCTCTCTCCTTTTATCTCTTGCAAGATAAAAGGCGATGCAGGCCACGCCTCAGGGAAACTCCCCTGAGTTCAGGGCTGTTACCTGAGTAAGGGTGTTGCATCCCACCCTAACTCTCTTTAACATAACATAACCTAATCTTGCCTCATTAACCACAGGCTGCGAATAGGATTTACAACACATAGGGAAATTACATCAGATCACAAAATGGAGGACAACCACACAATATTGGAAATCATGGCCTAGCCAAGTTGACGCATATTTTGGGGGGACACAGTTCAATCCATGACACCATCTAACTCTGAGTAAATAAATTTGTTTGTTAAAGCCACCCACTTGTGGTATTTCTGTTATAGCAGCACTATATAATTAACACAGAGAGCAACTGTGAATAGTTGTGGGCACTTGTGGTGGTTTCAACAGCTACAAAGAGTACTGGCTCCTCGGTTCCTGTTCAACAGCAATGCTGTGATTCTGATGGCAGCAAGGGCAGTGGCATCACCCTCAGCAGCTCAGCATCGAGTGTAGGTTCGTAGGCTCTAATGCTGAGGGAGTGGAAGCTTCCTCATATGTGGGCAACAACTTCTTTCTCCCTTTTGTTATTACAGCCTTGTTCTTTCTGCCTTATGCTCTTTCAGCCCTTTCAACACTATTGTTAAAAATTCCCTACATTAAATTCCTTTCTGACTTAAATATCTATTATTTTGTTGTCCTGAATAGACAGTATCTGATAGTCACTTTCTTGTATTCATTCATTCTTTGTTCATTTAACAAACATTCACTCACTGCCTACTAATGTGGTGGGCACTTTGGAAACAACAATAAGCAAACCAAAGCCCCTGCCCTTACGAAGCCTGTATACTAGCAGGAAGACAGACAATAAGCAAGTAAGCAAATAATTACACAAGATGATTTCATACTGTGGTAAGTACTATGAAGAACAGAAACGGCTTAAACAGCCCAGGACTGTTATGGTTGCTCCAGGCTCCTTCAAGCTCAGTACTTCATTTTCCCTATGGTGTGAACCTCTGCCTTGTAGTCCAATATAGTGTTAGCGTTCCAGCCAACACATTCAAGTTCCAGGCAGCCAGATGTGAAGGGAGTAAGAAGGGGTAAGGAACACGTGCTTGCTCTCTTTTAAGGGAGTTTCTGGGAAGCTACCATGCAATACTTCGATAATATTTTATTGGCCTCAACTTAGTCACCTGCCACACCTAGCTACAAGGTAGAGTGAGAAACGTAGCCTTAATTCTAGGCAGTATGTGTCCAGTTAAAAATTGGGAGGTCTATCACTAAAAAAGAAGAGACTAGATACTGGGGAAGACAACTAGTAGTATTTACCACAGGAACTAAACAAGGTGATCTGATTCTGAGTAACCTAAGGCGTGTATTTGGACACTTACTTAGACTGCTTCTTTATAATCTTTCTCTGCCATCAAATAGGTTTCTTCATAGCAAAAACTTGATTTACCTTTACAGCTCTGGTGTGCCCTTAAGTGTCTCAGGCATGATAAATATTAACATGTTTCTGAAAGAGAATATGATATAACTTTAAAGTAACTTGGGAAACTTACTAGCAAACAATATAGAGCAGTATGATGTTGTGATATCAAATTCTCTCACTAGACTGTGAGTTTCTTCAGAGTCAGTAAATCACTAAATCTGTCTCATTCTTTCTAGAGTACTGAACGTTGACTGTGGTGTATAATTGGTATTAAAAGACATTATCAGTATTCATCCATGGATCTTACTGAGGCCTAAAGCAATCAGAGAAGACTTCATTAAGTGGGACTCGGGTTGGTGAAAAGCCCTTTTCCCCACTGACAGAAAATAAACGATAATCAATATTTGTATAGCATTTTAATTACATCTTCACAACATCACCAGGATGTTACCTTTCATTAAATCCTCACATCACCGGGGTATTCTTTGTTTTTATCCTTATTTTACAGATGAAGAAATGGAGGCTCAGGGAAGGTCAAGATATTCCCCTTAGCAAGTGGCAGCCACCTGGAACTAGAAATCAAGTCTTAAGAAAACCAAATGCACTGCTAGTGTGGGAAATTTTTCAATTTCAGTAAAATTAGTGAGTACCTATGGTGGAGAGGGCTACAGCATCCTTTGGTTTCACTTTTAGGAGATTGATAAAATAAAATCGGGCAAAATGAGGGCAAATCATACTGCCAAAACTTTCTAAATGCAGGGTTACGATCAAGCAATAAACCCACTGCTGTCCAGGGGATTCCAATTCATAGTGACCCTATAAAAACCCATTGTCGCTGAGTCTGTTCCAACTCTTAGCGGCCCGACAGGGCACAATAGAACTGCCCCATAGGGTTTCTAAGGAGCAGCTGGTGAATTTGAACTACCGATCTTTCGGTTAGCAGCTGAACACTTAACCACTGCGCCACCACGGCTCCGGTGACCCTATAGGACAGCGTATAACTGCCCCACAGAGTTTCCAAGGCTAGGCTGTAATCTTCAGGGAAGCAGAGTGAAAGCAGACTGGCACATCGTTCTCCCGCAGAGAAGCTGGTGGACTCCAACAGCCAATCTTTCGTTAGCAGTCGTTCGCTTAACCAGTACCATCACTAGAGCTCGTTCCATCAAGTAATACTGTGGTTAGTATCGGCTTTTTAAAGGACTACAATTCCCAGCATGCCACAAGGCGCCTTGGGAAGACTTCGACTCCCAGCATGCTGTACCTTGGAACTCCGTGGGAACTCCAAGTCCCAGAATGCAGCGCTCTTACTCCTACTACTTGCTCTCAGAGGGCCGACGAGACTACAGTTCCCAGCATGCAGCGTCGCCCCCTGTTTCTGGCGCCTCGCAGGGCCCTGCTTCGTAGGGACCTTTTAAACCCCAGAGGGCAGTTCCTGGAGTCACAGCTCCCCCTGGAAGACGTATCTGTAGCGCAGTTCTGGCCCACCGAGCCTGTCCAGAAGAAGCCTCGGAGGGATGGGTTGGGGCCTGGGCCGGGCTTCGCTCAGGCAGCGTTTGAGGCAGCCCCATCGGGGCCCTCCTGGGGCCTACCTCCCTTTGAACTGCGGTGGCGGGCGGGCGCACTGTCTCCACCACCCCTCAGAGTAGGGGCCGCCATCTCCATGGCCACGGCTGCGAGTCGGCCTAGTGCCGGCGGGTCGCGGGACATCCTGTGGCGCGTGAGTCCAGCGCATAGTGTGGCACGTGCTCGGCCGCTGTTAGGGTCGGGCTGGAAGGGCCGACGCTGACCGCGCGTGCGCGCTGTGCGGGGGAGGGGCCGGTCCACGGGGAGAGCGCGTGGGGAGGGAGCGACCTGAGGAAGCTGATTACAGGGTGTTTTTTTGGGAGGGGGTGCGCCTTCTCAGTGGAAGCTGGTTGCAGGGTGTGCGTGTGGGACGTCTTGAGTGGTAGCTAGTTACGGGGTGGGAGAGGAGTCCTGGGTGGAATCTGGTTACCGGGTGGAGGGGGAATTGTTAGGAAATGTTCACCAGTTTTCTCTTCTATGAGGAAGCTGGACTGGGTGGAAGAGTGTCCTTAGTGGAAGCTGGTTAGAGTGAGAGGAATGATCTGAATGGAAAGTGGGGCAGGGAGTAGGGAGGAGTTTTATGCAAGGACAGTGTACTTCGTAGGTGCAAAATAACTTGTTGGTGACTTGGGGTAAGAAGTGGAAAGGAATGTCCAGAATTGGAGGAGAATGTAGGGTGGCACATTCAGCAGAGGCTAGGGTTGGGGACTGGTACGCAGGGCAGGTATTCTTTGTAAGAAGTTAGGTGTAAGCTGTGGGACTGAGGTCTTCCTTGAAGTTGTTTAATCAGCAGTACTGCATCCAGTCTGTGGAGGGCAGAGACAAATAGGAAGATCCCTTTTAGGACAGTGCTTCTACCCCCGTAGCACTGTCATCTTCACTGTATCCCAAGCTAAAAACGTCTTACCTATTCTTTACCGCCTGTGTTATCAATCAAGAAGTCCTGTAGATTCTACCTCAGAAACGTGGCTGGAATTTGTTCCATTTTTTCTATCTCATTGCCACTGCCCTCGTTCAGACATCAACTATATATTCTTTGGCTTGGAATATTTACGGTTGACTGCCTCTTAATTCCTTTGTCGCCTGTCTAGGTCTTGTCCCCTCTGATCCACTTTCCTCACAGTCACTGTCCAAACACAAGAGTGCTTTACCTTCCCAAACACAAATATGACTGTCACATTCATGCTTTAAAGCCTTTAGTATCTCCCTTTGTATTTATTCAACAGTGAATCTTGTGCCTCTTATCTGGTAAGCACTGGGAATTCAGAAATGAATATGATGCAGTAGCTGTCCAATAAGGAGCGCATATATAATTGTAAACACGATTACAATATATAAAAAAACAAATTGTCATGGAATCGATTCTGACTCATGGTGACCCCATGTATGTCAGAGTAGGACTGTGCTCCATAGGATTTCCAATGGCTGTGACCTTTTGGAAGTATATCACCTGGCCTTTTCTTTCAGGTGCCTCTGGGTAGATTCAAACTTCTAGTCTGTCCGTTAGCAGCTGAGCACATTAACTATTTGTACTCCCCAGAGTCTTCACAATATACAGAAAGTTCCCATAAAATCTATGCAGCTTTTCAGTAGTAGTGTAACTATAATTATCAAAGATAAAGAGACAAGTATAAGTTACTATGAAATGCAGTTGTAAAACTAAGTAAGATAATCCCATCCTGCCTCAAAAGTGTGCTGTTTGATGTAGCGCTTGACTCTGGCTTAATGCACTCATCTGTTTACCAGTAATTACAGTATCTTGTAGTGGTATGCAAAGCCCTGGTGATGCAGTGGTTAAGAGCTCAGGCTGCTAACAAAAAGGTCTGCAGTTGGAATCCACCAACCGCTCCTTGGAAATCCTCTGGGGCAGTTCACGCTGTCCTGTAGTGTTGCTATGAGTTGGAATTGATGGGACAGCAACGAGTTTGGGTATTTTGGTTTGGGTAGTGGTATGTAATATTAATAGTACTGACCGTTTGTGTTTATATATAGCTGCCTGCACTAAGGTCTGGGTCTAAATATTAGTGATTAAATATACACCCTGTTTGCAAATTCAGGATTTGCATAACTGAAATAATTTAACTGAGTTGGTAATTGAGGGTTTTTGTTTTAATTGTAGGTTTTAGGCTGGAGGATAGTTGCAAGTATTGTTTGGTCAGTGCTGCTTCTACCCATTTGTACCACAATATTTATAATCTTTAGCAGCATTGATTTATTTCATCCTATACAGTGGCTGTCAGGTAAGTGATACTTAATTTGGGAAAATCAAATTTATAGGACCTACTTGTCAAGATAAAAATTGCATATGATTCAAATGACTTATAAATCTTATATTGGCACACCAAAGCATTCACTTGAGATATTTTTAAGGCATCCCCTTTCATAACATGAACTACCTTTTTGTTATAATATTAACAAACCTAGCAAAGGCCATGTATGATCACAGGAGCAAGAAGATCATTAGAAGACCGCGTAAATGAAACCCTGACTTAATTTTTGTCTTTTCTTTTTGACGGCTTTATTGAAATTATTTGTCTTTTTAAGAAAGAGAACTATCTCTGTCACCTATTTAAAAATTGTGGGTAGAAAATATGATATACATCTCTTTAATAAATATGTCTAAAATTAAGAATATTTCACTTCCGTATTGTGGCTGATTAGGCAAAAAGATGAGGAGGGAAAAGGAGGAAAGAGTTAAAGACTAGGGAGATAATGTTAACACACAAGGGTTGATGAAGAGAAAAAGACTGAAGCAGGCAGAAGTGTTTCTCAAAATCCTTGGGGACAAAAAAATTACTAAATTCATTAAAATGTAACTACTGTGTTTCATAATGATAATAATAATAGTTACCAATTATTGTCTGTCTTCTGTGTGCCAGGCACCATGCTAAGCACCTTAAGTATTTTGCCTTTTATCCTTCCTACAGCCCTGTATAATAAAGCGGTATCCCTGTTTTATAAATGAAGAAACTAAGGCTCAGATAGGTTGAATATTCTGTGCAGATAAACACAGATAGTTACTGAACTAGGATTTGAACATTGGTCTCTGACTTCAAAGCCTGTGCTTTTCTACCATGCTGCACTCTAGAATTGAAAAACAGAAAGAGGTAAATGTGGCCAGAATAGGTTTTCAAGTCTTTAAAGTCTTGTCTAAGGCTAAGAAGCACAAATACTCTTGAAATCTCTTTTCCTCCCTCTCAGCAACAATAACAACAAAAAATTCTCATGCTTTGGAAAATGGGAAGTGTGTTTTTAATTTAATTTTTCAGAAGAAAATGCCAATTTTCAAGGAGTAGAATCTTAACCTTGTGGCCTTTGTAGATGTTGCTGCTAAAGAATTAAAGTCATGTTATGTTTTTTATAGATACATATAAATCACTTCTTGGATGGGTCCGACAGGTCAGATGAAATTAAGCCATAAACCAGCGCAGGGATGGCGAGTATTTCTGTAGCCATCTTGCCCGAGTCTGCATCACTAACTGATTGTGGCTGTCTAGCCACAGCCTCAGAATATTCAATATTGTATTCTGGAACCACTCCCAATTGTTCAGAGTTGACACTTGGATAAAAAACTATTTGCTATTTCGTGGCTATGGGTTCTTTAATCCTAATAGCACATTTTCTCCAGATTGGATTTGATTCACAACATTTTCCCCATCAAATGTTACACATTCTCTTCAACTTTTGCCTTGCAGAGTGTTTTCAGAGAAGTTATGCTCTTTCTTTATTAACCTCCAGTCACATGAATCATTTCATTTTTTTGACTCTATAATGCTTGGGTAGAGTCATTTAATTGTGGATTCTTAGGAAATACACTTCATTAATTTTGTTCAGTGAATTGCACTTTTAGAAATAATTGGTTTCATTGTTACTTCTTCGCAAACGTGCCCTTATTGTTTTATTTCTCTTATTCGTGTTTTTAGGAGACATATATATATATATAATCTTGAACTTTGCCATGATTTTGAAAAGGAATAATTAATTGTTGAACTATTCTGAAGTGTGAATATATTAGTATTTCACAGGGATATCATGACTTAAAAGAAATTTCAGCTCATTTGGATGATTTATGCATTATGCTATTTCCAAAAATGTGACTTTCACCTAAGCTGTAGGGGCTAATTTTATTTATTAAGATGTGATCTGAAAAATATTGTTTATATTTTAAAAACAAATTTTGCTTGTTTATTACTAAATACAGTACTGCTCTGTTTCACATGATGAAATGTGTTTGCATATGGTAGTATTTTTTTTTGAGATTAACGTCTTGGCCATCTAAAAGAAATTCTAGTATAATTTTAAAGTACCCAGAGCCAGGTCAAAATAACTCAAACTTGTTCTTGAGTTGATGTCCTGTTGGACCTATCAACAGTGTGTGATTAAATTCTTGAAGAAAAGATACTTTTTAAAATTATAATTACAGTTGTGGTTTAAACCCCATTTCTATTGTAGTATACTGAACATGACTACATGACTTAATAAACTTTACTAATTTACCTCTCTTGTGTTTTAGATTCTTTTAGTGATCTGTATAGTTCGTATGTAGTCTTTTACCTCCTGCTACTGTCAGTGGTAATAGTGATAATAAATATTTTCAATGTGGAGTTTTATACAGGTAAGTTTTTAATGTTAACCATCTCAAAAAATCTGAATATATTTTAGGGTGTTTTGTACTTGGGTGTATATTACAGAGGCTGTGTTTTGTGTCAAAAAAAAAAGTACATAGAATCGTATACTTCGAATGTGTTACCCACCTTAGAATGTATTTGAGTGCTAGTTTCTCTGTTTTAAAAAATATTTAGCCCTTTGAAGAGTTGACAGCTTGTGTTAAAGTTATTAAGCAGGTATAATATAAGAAGAATTCCTTTTTACAGTAGGATATCAGACCAGGTGATTTCTAAGGTCTCTTTCAAATAAGAAAAATCTGTAATTCTGTGATTTTCAAAAACACTTAAGAGTATTATATGTTTTACCTTAGGAGAATCAGCTACTAGATTCTAGGGCTTTTGATTTTTCTCAGTTTCTCTCCTTGTTATTCCTGCCTTTCCAGATTCCTTGAGACACTTTTTGCTGACACTTCTGTTCTGACTGTAACATCACTCCTCATCTGCGTGCTCCAGTAATCCTTGCTAGACATAGTATAAAATTTCAAATCCTAACTCTGGATATTATAATATACACTCTCTTCCTTTGATATCCTAATCTCTCACTACTGGCTGGTGGGTCTCTTTCATACCAGCCCTATACAGAACTCCTTGGCTTAGGTTCTTTCACACTGTTCCACGTACCTGGATCATCTTCTGTGTATGATATGCCAGACTAGGGCTCCCCAGCTAGTCATTCTTAAAGCCTGACTAGTTATTTTGGCTCATTCCTTTATTAAATAAGTATTATGCATTTACTATGTGCCATGCATTGTGTGGGGATAAGGGATAAATGATGTGGTCTCTGCCCTCCCCAGAGGATCCCAATTATGGGGAGACAGACAGTAAACATCAAGCATATTCAGTTACACTACACTGGATCTATGGGGGTATATAGGAGCAATACTTATCCAGCATGGGAAACTTCCTATAGGAGATGATGTTTAATCCAAGTCTTGAAGGATGAGTTGTATTAAGTGGACAAGGAAAATGATGTTCTGGGGAGAAGGCATAGCATGTAAAGAGAGGAGGTTTGGTATAGTCAGGTGCAGTAAGAAGCACCGTCTGTAGGCCCTCGGGAGCATTTCTGGTGGGAAGCGAGAGGTGATAGCAGCCTCTTCACCGTAGTGTTCAGCACCTAAGCCTTCTCCCTTCACATTTATGTTTCGACCTCCCACAGTCTCTTTACGCTGAATATGTTGAAAGAGGAATGCCTGTATAGATAGGTTGGGGAATGCTGTGTTATTTTCAGGGTCAACAATAGCCCACCCATGCTCACCTCCCCCAACTTACTTCCAGAAAACTTTTTTGGATTATCAGAGAAGTATTAAAAATCCCTATACAAGCATTTATTTTAGAATTCATTGTTGTCAGTATTTACTCAGTTTGTGGTTTATTTTTCACAGATGGAGTACATATTGACAATATGAAGTGCTGAAATAAAGATAACTTGCTGGAGGGCAAGAACTTTATCTTCTATTATTATTATTTACTCTTTTATTGCACTTAGGCAAGTGCCAGGATAGGCACTACTTGAGCTTTCAGGAAATTTTAGTTAAAAAGAAATGAAAATGTTAACCATGCTATCCTTAAGTTTCATCTCTTTAGATTCTTTGTTTTTGTTTTTCAGTGTATCTCTTTGTGTTCAATCTTTTTTGTAATCATTTTAACTTAGACTGTTTCTTTTCTGCATTTTACATTGACTGTTGGTTTCTTCCTGCCCTTTGGAATATTTATGCAGGGATTAGTGGGAATAGTTTAGGTTTTCTAACTTCATATGCTGCAGATTATAAAGCCACAGTAATGTGCTTTGTTTGCAGTTGTGCCTTGCATTCCCTGCTCCAGACTGGCTCTGATAGGGAAGATCGTTCATCCTCAGCAGGTCTTGCACTCATTTATTCATGCTTCTATGGGAATGGTGATGGCCTGGTGTGCTGCAGTGATAACCAAGGGCCAGTACAGTTTTCTTGTGGTTCCCTGCACAGGTACTGAGAGGTAACAGACTTTTTTCCTAAAGAACTTTTTTTAGTTACTAAGCCGAAGGTGACCTGTATAGGTTAATACTTTACGGACAATCTTTACTTTCCAGACTCCTACAGAAGGTGCTTTTTTATATATATCAAGTGTTTTTGATGTTTTATGTTTATTGAATTCAGTGATTTTTTTTTTTTAAACCATTTATTATGTGCAAGGCACTATGCTAAGTGCTGTTGGATTTATGAGAGTGATTCGTACATAGACTAAAGCCCCTGGAGAGTTGGGACCAATAGGGAAATTAAGACATGGATACATATGGATGTTATAAGAGGAAGAAAGTAGAGAAAATCCACAGATGGCTTCTTAGAGGAGGTGGCATTTAGTTTGAAGGAAGAGTAATATGAAAAGAATGAAGAAAAAATTTTTAAATAATTATGACTACCTTCTATCGTGTACTTTCATAATTTTGAAACAAACAGCTCTTGAACACATGGCAGTGATATAAATTATACATTGATATTCTCACTTCAAAAATCAGAAAAGATGCTCGTAATGGAGTAATCTTAGGGTCTCTATTTAGCACTGACTTTAGAACAATGCTATGTGATTAATATGGAATAGTTGATTTTAGCTTCCAGCTATTGCTGTGTGAGGCAGTTTTTTTCCTTATGTGGTAAGTTTTCTTTAGTGAAAACTCTTTGTTGTTAAACCTGGTTGTCTGTGAATACGGAAATCCCATCTGCTTCTCTGGCTGAATCTTGAGATCTCCTTGCACATCTCTGTCTCCTTAGCAGAGGTGCGGTGAAAGTTTTAGTGAGTAGGAGGCAGCAGTATACTACAAGTGTTAAAAGAGATTAGTGCCTATAGTTAATATATTTACTGATGGTTTTACAGTTAGAGTCTCTAGCAAAACTAATCCCTTTTCGTCATCTTAAAACTTAGGGTCAGAAAACAATCAACCAGGAGTCTCACCACTCACAGAGATAGAAGTGGGGCACGTCCACAGTCTTTCCTCACTCATGAAAAATTGACTACTACTGAAATATGATGTGTTGGCTTTATATACCCCAGATATTTGATAGATTATAGATTCTTAGTAAAATCTCAAAGGAATTTAAGAGCTTGATGTTCACCAAATAGATAAGATCTTGTATTTACAATTAAAAGCCTGACAAAAGATAATAGGGTAGTGACCTAAGGCAGTGCACACCAGGGACTCCTCTTGGGTTTAACTAGATCTTTAGCATTTACAAGACAGCCATAGCTTGCCAGCTGGGAAGCGTCAGGAGTTCCTCTTTATCAGGTGTCCTTGTAGCAGTTCATATAGGTCATAGGTTCCATAGCCATCTGGGAGCTGTCTTCTTGCCCCCACCCCATAACTCAGGTACAAGGAGAGATCCACATCAGACAGATATGGGGCCCCCCTGGTTTAAAAGCCTGATATCCCACACGATCCAGTATCTCTTAAAACAACTTCCTAGGCATAGCATCCGGGGACCCCACAAGGGGATGCCCAGTAGTACTGAGACAACACAGACAGAAGCCCAAAGTCATGACATCTCCATCAGGTGTATATACTAAACCAAACTAGTTGCCGTTGAGTCGATTCCCACTCATGACGACCCCATGTGTGTCAGAGTAGAACTGCACTCCCTAGGGTTTTTTAATGCCTGTGATCTTGCAGAAGTAGATCTCCAGGCCAACCTTTTCAACCACTAACCTTTCAGTTAGTAGCTGAGTGTTTTCAGGTATATGTATTTATAATTCTTCCCAGTCCAGATGGAAATAATGGTGATGGCTTGGTGTACTGTAGTGATAACCAGGGGCCTGTACAGTTTTCCAGATGGAATTTGCCAAGCAGGAACTTTTTTTTTTTTTTTTTTTTTTTTACCAGAAGCGGTGTTATTTAGTATCATAGTTGATATTCCTACCCATCTCGTATTTCCAGGGGAACAGAGCTAGAGAGTTAACTAAAGGTCAGTTCTCATGCATCACGGAAAAGCGTATTGTGACTCCTTTGCCCCCATTTAACCTAAAACAAACCATTCTCTTAGAATTTGGAGCATTTCTTAAGTGATTAAGTCAAAGCTTTGCCTTCAATAAATATCGAGTCTTAAACAGTGATGTGCATTCATGATGCTGTTGAATTAAAATAATTTTCTTCCCTTTAGCTTAGATAGCCCTGCTGCACAGACCTGCTTAAATGAGTATCACCTTTTTTTCCTACTGGCTGGAGCATTCATGGGCTATAGCTATAGCCTTCTGTATTTTGTCAACAACATGAATTATCTTCCATTTCCCATCATACAGGTAAGATATCATTTGAGCATTACCTTATGTCTAGAATTTGGCAGAGTTAAAATTGCTTTGGTGTATGCATATATAACTGGCCACATCTGATTCATTCAAGATTTGATTAGCAAAAGTTAGGAGTGAGATCCTCAGAATACCATCTAGAGAGGAGAGGTTTGTCTTCATGAGGCTTTAGTGTATATTTGGGAGCTGTAGCTGCCCTTCCTGCTGCCACTCTTAGAATATCGCTTTGCTCTATGCTTTCCCTCTTTGCTAGGTAGTGGCAGTTACTGTCACCTGGCAGGGCTGGGGGAGGATGATAATGACATTCATGCAAAGTACCTCTGTGTAGCTGCCAGCTTCTTTTTGAACTTAAGAACCTCATGAGCTTGGGGATTTACAAGTAAGTATAGGATATGTCAGTTACTGTCTCAAATCCGTTTCGGAACAAGGCAACCAAAACCAAAACCAAACCCTTTGCCATCGAGTCAATTCCAACTCACAGCGACCCTATAGGACAGAGTAGAACTGCCCCATAAGGTTTCCAAGGAGTGGCTGGTAGATTCGAACTGCTGACCTTCTGGTTAGCAACCGAGCTCTTAACCACTGCACCACCAGGGCTCCTAGAACAAGGCAAGATGTATATAAATGAATTAAAGTTTCAGCTGGTTTGAGTGGGACAGTTTAAATTATCTTTCAGTTAGGTTTTTTAAAAATCTACTAATCTGGTTGGTGCTGTCTCTGGAACTCGGCTATCTAGCATCACAGGTGTAGAGTAGAGTGAACGTGGGAGTGGTCTAGTAGTTGACATTGTTTCTATCATGTAATGTCAAGTTTGTAAAATTTGACTATTAAATTTTTTGTCATTTTTTTTTTTAAATAAAATTTTAGATTTTTTTATCACAGAAGTTTGTTCTGGGATGGTAATATTTAACTTTGGCTTCAGTTTCAGCTTTGGCAAAATGTTGATTTTTAACATTTGGCCATTCAGTATTTGGCCAAAATATATATTTGGGGCATCTTTTGTATTTATTTATTTTTGTATTTACCCAGTCTGCCCAGTTGGGTGCTCTTCTCCAGCCCAAAGAGTTGCAGTAGGGATTTTGTGGGTGGGTGCAGTGGAAGGACAGTACAGTAAGGGAGGTGAGGATTTTGGCAAGAGTAGTTGAGATGATGTTTCTTGGTTGCCAGGACCTTAGTTTCCCACCTGTTAAGTTTATAACTGTCTTTATTTCCTTAGCTGAGTAGGTTTGCCTCCCCCGAAGACCAAGGGGGCCACACTGTAGCTTAGCCTTCTCTCATTAGCCTAAGGAACATGGTGCACAGTATACAGTCTTCCCTTGTGTGTTATAAGTTGCTAAGGAAAGTAGGACTGATTGTCAGGAAATTGCAAACTTAGTGTGAGATCTCAGAACTGTTCCTTCCCTCTCTGAGCTTGCATAGAATGATGTGATGGTGATAGCTGCTTAATTTATTTTTTAAACAGCCAAGCTGATCAGAGAATGTTAGTCCTTAAAAAGTTTTAACAAGCAATAACAACCATCATTATCATCATTATTACTTTTGGTGCTGACCGTCGGTTTCCCAGGAGTATAATGGTAACCTTCTTATAAAATGTTCAGATACTATACATGAAATGAAAGCCCCCTTTGACTTCGTCATGGCCAGTGTCAACCTTTGCCTCAGAGATAACGATTGTCACCAGCTTAGTGAATATCATTCCAGACCCTTTACTGTGCATTGACATAAACATACCAATAAAATTTTACATTCTGTGGGGTGGAGTTTACATAAATTGTTTCATATTGTGTCTATTATTCACTAATTACTTTTTTCATAAAGCTATGAAAAATCAGCTATTTTTAAAAAAATCTAATTTTAACCAATTTGCTGTTAGCCCATTTGTTTTCTTTTTCTTTAAACTTCCTACATTACTAAAACCCATTTCATTGCACTTATCAAATTCTTAATGACAGACTAGTAGAGAAAAAGCAGAATGTTAGCATGGAGAACAGGAGAAAACAATGGATACACACCAAGACAGGACTTGGCAAGCTATAGGCAAACAAGGCTGTTGAGAGTATTAAATGAGATAAGATATATACAGCACATGGCACAGTGCGTGGCGCATAGTAAATACTCACTAAAGGGTAGCTTATAGCAAAATCATGGAAGAAATCCAACAGGGAGATGAAAAACACTTCAGCTTGGGAGCAAAAGGAAGGTTTATTAGCTATTCTCTGCAAAGCTACTGAAATGTCCCCCTCCTTCCTTAGCCTTCTCTGTGTATCCTTGTGAGTGATGTTTGAGGTGAAAACTTCAGTAGGAATAGTATAGGAACTGTGCTTTTTTTATTGGGTGGTAGTGTCATGGGAGCACCCAGTGGCTGCATGGAATAGTGCATTTCCACACCTTGCACTTTGAAAATATTTGAATAAATCAGTATAATTGAAGCTGTTTGGTTAATGATCAAGTTATTCATATGGGCTGCTCTTTATAAGACTTTATGGACATCTGCAGAGTCCTTGGGTGGTGCAAATGGTTAAGCGCTGGGCTAGTAGTCAAAAAGGTTGTTGGTTCGAACCCACCCAGAGGTGCCTTGGAAGAAAGGTCTGATGATTTGCTTTTGAAAGATCACAGCCATGAAAACTCTATGGAGCACAGTTCTACTTTGACATACATGGAGTCCCCATGAGTTGGAATTGATAGCAACTGGCTTGGTTTTTATAGACATCTGCAGACATGGTTTGAAGGTACAACCTGTGCCTAAATACCGTAATCCTTTGCTGTTGTTTAATTTCTGAAATTCCTTAATGATCAGCCCTGGTGTAAGCATGAAAGAAGACCCGAATTTGGGAAGTTCATCTTTTATTCATTAGGTTTCCTTAAATTCTTTCTACTAATTTTTCATGTTTTTTCCATTGGCATTTTTGGGATGTGGGGAGGGAGGAAGAATGAACAACTCTTGTTTTACAAAAAGTGTAGTTTTTTTCAGGAAAGAACAGTTTATATCTTTTTTTATTTGATTCTTTCTCTTAGCTCATTAGAGTTGGAAGGTACCCCCTAAGGAACTAGTTAGCTGGTTCTACCTTATATTACAGATAAGAAAACAGAGAGGAGATGTGACTTGCTCAGGGTTGCACAGAAAGTGGGAGTGCTAGAACTAAGGTCTCATTCCTAGAATAGTGTCTTCTCTACTGTCTCCCATTCTTGATCTCTTGAAGAGTTCTGTATATTAATCTTTTGTATTCTACCTCCGGTAATTCTAAGAAGATTTCTTGATTCTTTGTTTTGGAAGCTTGCTGAAGCCATCATGGTCTGCCTCTTTTTTGATTTAATATTGACTGTTGTCTCTGAGCATCAGTAAATTACTATATTTATTTATTTTATGTTGGCTTACTGTGTCCTAGCTTCTTTGTTTTGTTTGTTTTGATAAGCCCAAATAGGCTGCTTGTGTGAGCTAGTTTGATTATTGGTGCCTTTGAAGCTCTAACATCCTTTCACCAGGTGGTTAGATCTGTTACTAGATATGTGAGCCCAGGAGTCTGTTAACTTTTCTTGTTTGGTTTCAGCTCAGGTGTCCAGGTAGTCAGTCACCAACTGTGTGGTGCAGGCTCTCACCTACAGTCCTAGACAGGCAGGGGTGATTGGTGTAGGCACAGGTATCTGGCTATAGTAGGGGGTCATGTGCTGAGCAAGGCAAGGGGCTGACAGCTGCCCCTGAGTGTCTGGGAGGAAAGCATGTCCCTGTTCCCTAGAGCATGTAGATGGGTGGGTTTTGCAGCTGGACTATGGGCACCCAGTGCTATTGGCTGTAAGGACTGGGAGGCGCCACTTATTCTTGGACCCCTGTTGCGGGTGGCTAGGTGGTGTGGGTGGAGCTACCAGTCCTTAGGCCCCTGATGTGGTTAGGTGAGGACCCTGCTTAATAGGCAGAGTGGTGTCAACTGTCACGAACCTGCCTCTCCACCATATATCTGATACAGTTGAAAGTAGGCTTCAGATATATACCCTGTTGTATTGTGGTAATGAGGGCGTGCATTGTTGAAATGGACCCACACAGGTCTGTGCAGAGGTGAAAGGCATTCAAAGTCCGTGGACTTCTTATGCCTGTGCCTAGGCAAAGGAGCTGTGCCTGCCCTGAGTTCCTGGCTTAGGGGAGCTAGCAGATTATTTTTGTTTGTTTGTTAATTTGTTCTGTCTCCAAGGCCAGGAGAATGGCTCAGGACACATGTGGGTCCTACTTCCGGCCCAGGGGATGTGGCAGTCTCTGAAGCTGGCCCGACCCAGACTGGTGCAGAGTGGGGAGGGTGCAGGTAAATGGGAGAGAGGTTTTTCCCAAACGGATTGTCCATGCGGTAGGTTAGATGCATGTACTTATCTTTTGCCAATTGAGCGCTGCTTTTTACTGGGTCTGGAGGCCCGAACAGACTCTGCCACTCCGTCTCTCTTGATGTGGAAAATGTGTCGTGAGTGCCACTGCTTGCCTTACCACACACGCCAGCCAGTCAGACCTGCAGTGTGCCGGTTCCCACCGAGTCAGGTCTGGCAACTCTTCGCTGCTTCTGAACCATCTCTCCCTCCTCCTGCTGCTGAGTCAGATTCCTCAACTTTGCCTTTGATGTTCAGGTCTCCTAGATTGTTATATATATTCGATTCACTTGTTTTTTCCGAGTCTTTGTTGTAAGAGGGACCACAGGAAGCATCTGACTACTCCACAGTCTTGGCCCCACCTCTGTCTCCCATTCTTAAAATTGAGTTGTTAGGCAGTATGCATTGTCTTTAAGATTACAGGCTCTGAAGCCAACCTGCCAGGATTCATTTCTCAGATTCTCCTTTTCCTAGCTGGTCACATTGGTTAAGTTACTTAACTTCTCTGTGCCTCAGTTTCTTCATCTGTAAAGTGGAGAGAATAATAGAAAATCCTTCATAGGGTTATTGTGATGTTTAAGTGGATTAAAGTGTTTAGAACAGTACCTGGTACACGGTAAGCACCTAATGGATGTTAGCTGCTGTTATTAGCTGTTATTACCGTATTTTTTGTACTTTGTCCATAGTCCTAAGTATTAAGTATAGATTGATGATAATTTTCATATTTCTGATCTTTTATCAGTGAGATGTATAATTTAAATATTTTAACATTAGAAATAGTTGATTATTTTGACTTTAGAATAAACTTTTTATACAATGATTAATGTTTTATATGTTGACTATTGTAGTTCAGTGCTTGCTTTAGAATGAAGTAGAACCTCTATTTGGATGTATCATTTGATTCTGTTTCTCTTTTTTTCCACAGCAATACAAATTCTTGCGCTTTAGGAGGTCTCTGCTTTTACTAGTTAAACATAGTTGTGTGGAATCGCTATTCCTGGTTAGAAATTTCTGCATCTTGTATTATTTTCTGGGTAAGAATTTCTGCTTTTTGATACAGTATATGTATTAACTCATATATTAGAAGATGTCAGTTACAGAATCATTCTTGATTGTATTCGTGTGTTTCCTCCAATTGTAGGTATGTGATTAGCCCAACATTCTTTGTTTAAATTGTTCAAATAGGACTTGCTTATGGGAAAATACTGTATGTCATTTGTTCATTATTCTGTTTAGAAAGAACATACTGTTTTTCATAAGTTTGTGACTTGGTACTAATACAGTAGAAACATCCTGTTGCTAAGGGAATCTTGTAGAATTTTTTAATGTGAAATTTTAGGCACAGAAATACCGTTTAATATAATGAACAGTACAAGTTGAAGGAAAACTTAGTAGCAATACATAATAAACATAATTCAACATTCTAAAATAGACTGTTTCAAACTATAACTTTTTTAATCCTACTTTTTTCTGTGGGTATAACTTTACAAAATTGTCCTCACTGTGTATAGGCCATTCTGTTGTCTACTTTTGTCTGCTTATAATTTATATAATCCATTTTTCTATGTAGTTCTTGTAATTGTCATTCTAATAGTTAACACTTCATTGTGTGGTATTAACCTACTACAATCAGCTGACAGTTCCTCTTAGTTGTACATTTGGACTGACACAGTGGGAGGGTCAACATTCCCATGGTCAGCTATTTCTTGTATAACTGTATTTACTGATTCAAATTTCATTTCTAGCTTTACCACTTTTCATTTTTCTGCTGCACTTTGATCTTTTTGGCCAGTTTTGTTTTTTGACTATTCATTTTTATAAAATGTCATGTGGCTTTATCATTTGGAGACACAAAGGCAACACAACTACATACTTTGCTGTCTGTGTCTGGACTGAATAACAGATGTGCAGTGACCAATCACTAACAGACTTTGAAAGAAGTGACATATGCTTGGTCACAGGTGATGGTGTGCATTTGATAGTTACATAGTGATTTGTGGGCTGAAAAACAAGAAGGTACTATATGTAGTTGCTCACGGTTAATATACCCTGTGACTGAAATTTGCACCATGTTGTTGGGGGACTGGTGTAATTCATACATATTGGAACAGTGCAAAGTGAGGACTGCCTGTATTCAGATATCTTTCAGAGGGTCGGCAGGGTTGTATTACTTCTGGAGGCTGAAGGGAGAATCTGATTTCTTGCCTTTTCCATCTTCTAAAGGCTGCCTGCATTTCTTGGTTTGTGACCCCTTTCTCCATTTTCAAGGCCAGCAGTATAGCATTTTCAGATCTCTTTCTCTCTCTCTGACTTCTGCTTCTGTTGTCACATCACATTTTCTACCTCTGACTCTCCTGCCTTCCTGTTATAAGGACCTGAATCAATTCGATGGCAATGGGTTTGTTTTTTTTGGGTTTTGTGATCCACTTCAGTAATCCAGAATATTCTCTCCTTAATCAATTTGCAAAATTCCTTTGAACTTGTAGGGTAACATTCACAGGTTAGGATGTGGACATCATTCCAAAACCAAACCAAACTCATTGCCATTGAGTCAATTTCAACTTACAGCGACCCTATGGGACAGAGTAGAACTGCCCCATAGGGTTTCCAAGGAGCGGCTGGTGAATTCAAACTGCCAGCCTTTTGGTTAGCAGCTGAGCTCTTCCCCACTGCGCCATCAGGGCATCATTGCCCATTGCTGTCGATTTGATTCTGACTAGTAGTTATTCTGTCTACCACAGATTCCAAAACTTATGGGTGGAAGGGGTAACAGGATATTTACATAGCTGAAACTCTAGCATTTTGACTGAGGTTTCTAGCATTTTGTCTATACTTGGCATTTCATCAACTTCATATCCTAAAGCATGATTAAGATTTGTTAACTTCATCATCATAGTGTGTAATTTTTCCCCTCAGGCCATATTCCCAAAGCTTGGATTAGCACTGCTATGGACCTTCGGAAAGATAAGTAAGTGACACATGAAAAAAGTCTAATTCTAACTCTGTTTCCATCTTTTTGGGTATTTGCTACTTTCCAGATGTTTTGTTTAGATTTAACCTTTTAAAATTTTTAAAAAATTGTATTCATTTTTTTAATAGGTAAAATATTCATATAGTTTAAAATTCCAAAGGTATACAAAAGGGTATACAATGAAGAAGACTCCTTCTACCCCTGCTTCTAGTCATTCAATTCCTCTTTCCAGAAGTGAGCAATGATAATCTGTTTTTTTGTTAGGTACAGCTTTTATATTACACAAAATTGGACTTGTGTTACACAGGCCATGTTTCTGTATTGTTTTTCTCCTCAGTAATCATTCATTCTTTGCTATGTTGTAGTAGACAACCACAATGGTGTTTTGGTATTATTCTAATTTTGCATATGAGGAAATCAGAATTGAGCGAGGTCAGGTGACCAGCTGAAGATTGCAAGTAGCAGTTGAGCAGCAGCACTGGGATGTATTGTTCTGCTTATCCCCCACACACCTTGCACGTAGTTTATACTTTAATGTATATTATGTAAATTTCTCTTCTTTGTTAGTGTTTGTTCTTTTAATTATTGGTTATTTCATTATAAGGCTTTTTTTTTTTTTTTGTATTATGGTGCAAATACACATCAGAACATTTGCCAGTTCAACAGTTTCTATATGTACAATTCAGTGACATTGATTATACGCTTCATGTTATGAAACCCTTGTCCCTATCCTTTTCCTAATTATTCTGCCACCATTAATGTAAACATAGTGCCCCTCCACTGGGAGACTTTGTATTATATATGGAATTCACTAATACCAGTTTTTGAGAGTAGGAATATTGGCATATATGGGTGTTTACATATAGGTGTTTACTTGCTAAGAGATATGGTTTCTACACGACAATGTAGATTTCAATTCCTAACTTTTAAAAAGTTCCTAGGTAAAATTGAGTTTCGTCTTCTGTTTAATTGTTAGATATAAAACCAAATGCATGGGTCATTTATTATGTTAGCCCAGGTGTTAAACTGGGTCAAAGAGAGAAACAATAATGATATTTGATAGAAATTTAACATAATACCTTTTTCTCCTTTCATTTTAAAAATGTTTGTATGGTATAGTGCCTGATACTCTATCCATCATGTATGCCAGGCCCTCAGTAAGTATTTACTTATTAATCAAAAGTAAATCCAGCATTTGTTGACACCCACCACTCCCCAGTGAATGTCAAGCATTATGCTGGGCACTCCTGATGTAAGCTGCTTTAAATCTGACAAAACTCCTAAGAGGTAGAATGAAGAGATTATGCCACCATTATATGGATAAGGAGATCTCTGGTCAGTACAAACGGTTTGTACTCAACTACTGACCTAAAGGTTGGTCGTTCGAACCTATGCAGCCTCCATGTGGAGAGCCTCATAACACATGGGGTCGCCATGTGTCGGCAATATGTTGTTGGTATATGGATGAGGAAACTGAGAGTTGGAGAGATCACGGGATTTACCTAATTATCCATTTTAAAAAAAAAAAAAAAAGATTCAGACTCACAGTGATCCTATAGGATAGTAGAACTGTCCCATAAGGTTTCCAAGGCTGTAATCTTTACGGAAGCAGACTGCCACATCTTTCACCTGCAGAGTGGCTGGTAGGTTTGAACCACCCACCTTTCAGTTAACAGCCAAGTGCTTAACCATTGCGCCACCATGGCTTGTTACCTAATTACAACACTCATAAATGGCAGAGTCAGAGGTTCAAATCCTAGTTTTCACAGTTGCTAGTTGTGTGATTGTAGGATTATGATGACTTTTCTGATTGATATATTTAAGGTTTTAGTAAGATAGCCTTAGCTTTGTTTAGCATTCTAATGAAGTTTCTAAAAATGCTTTAAATGTAAAGAATTGTTATTTTTAGGTAGTACTATGTGCTTTTGGAGCCCTGGTGGCACAGTGGTTAAGAGCTCAGCTGCAAACCAAAAGATTGGCAATTCAGATCCACTGGCTGCTCCTTGGAAACCCTATGGGGCAGTTCTACTCTGTCCTATAGGGTCGCTGTGAGTTGGAATCGACTCCCCAGCAACAGGTTTCGGGTTTTTTTGGTTTTAGTATGTGCTTTTAACCACTATGAAACAGTTTATAAGGTATATAGATAGAGCTGAAAACTGGTCCAAGAGAGGTGGTAGTCATGTTTAATGGTTTTTAAATATCAAACTACGAAGTAACAATAATTAAATTTCACCCAGCCTCTGGTAGTTAGGCTTGTAGGCTTGGCTCCTTCTGCCTCCATAGTAAATGGCGATGAATATTTGGAGCACAGGAAACTGCAGAGTCAGTTTAGGTCCACTTCTCTCTTCAGGTCCCTCATACACCTCAAAAGAAGGTGATAGGGAAAAGAACTATAGGGTCTGAAAGGAGAAGGTTGCCACCGTTATTATTTAGAAATAGGTTTTCTTTGTTTCTCAGCGTATTGCTTCAAGTCTGTAAATTGTTTAGATTGTATATTTCTCATAGGACTAAATAGTAATTTCTGCTTTCATAGGCAGTTACATCCTCTTGACACTGTGAGTGGTCTCTTGAATCTCTCATTACTCTACCATGTCTGGCTATGTGGTGTCTTTCTGCTAACAACTTGGTACGTCTCATGGATACTCTTCAAAATCTATGCTACAGAGGTTAGTATTGAGTCTTTTGTTTATACTTTTGTGTTTTGGAGTGCACAGATTGATTGTTTAGTACTAATCAGCACGCTATGCTGAAGCCATTTTGATAAAGTTAGGTTTTGGTCTCATTTGTTAGGGACATCTCGTTTGTAACTGTCATTTACTTTGTATTTTTTTCTAAGGAATAGTGTTAGTGTTCACTTAATTTTTGGAAACTAAACAGATTGGGCTAATAATCATACTTACATACTATGCTTTGTCTATAGTCTAGCTCTCTGGAGGATTCCATTTCTCTACTGAGTACATACTAAATAGGCCTGAATTTTAAGTTAAATTTTATATGCTATTGATATCCAAAAAAAAAAAAAAAAACCCATTGCCGTTGAGTCTATTCCAACTCATAGCTACCCTATAGGGCAGAGTAGAACTGCCCCCATAGGGTTTACAAGGAGCAGCTGGTGAATTTGAATGGCCGACCTTTTGGATAGCAGCCCTTTGCAGCCCGGGTGGCACAGTGGTTAAGAGCTCGGCTGCTAACCCAAAGGTCAGCCATTCAAATCCACCATCCGATCCTTGGAAACGCTATGGGGCCGTTCTACTCTGTCCTGTAGCATCACTGTGAGTTGGAATTCACTCGATGGCAACGGGATACTATTGCTATAGATACTATTAAAATATTTAAACTTAAGGCAATAAAATATTTGTTGTTTGAAGGAAAATTTTGAAATTTATTTTAAAGAAATGGTCTTGAAAATAGAGGCGATCATCTGGATAATTCAGACAAAAATCTTTTTAACTAAACGGCAATTATTTTTATTATTTTTTAAAATCAGAGTGTTTTCTTAGAACATGAGTATTTCAGATTCATTTTACCATCTCTGTAGGTTTGTATCCTTTAGTGGCTTCAGAAAACCTTTGTTTCTGAAGTTTGTTTCTGTCATTGGAATCCAGTGGTCTAATAAAATCGGAACAGTAACGTTTTAGAAAGTGGTGTGTTTGCATATACGTAGCTACTTTAGCGCAGCCTGTTTTTGCAGGGAGCAGTAAAGATGTTAATTTGGTTGTATTATCTCCTTTCATAATAAATTTCAATTAGTGGTTACTTAATGTAATAAAATCATGAAAATAATCATTTTCATAGTGTTTATATTTGATAGGCTCATCTGTTCCCTGTTCAACCATCATTTGCTGAAGAGTCAGATGAATGCCTCCCTAAAGTTTTAAACAGCAATCCTCCCCTCATCATAAAGGTACCAGAATTGTGCATTTTGCACCTTTACACAGCCATCTCTAACTTGTCTTATAGAATGGACTTAGTATTTAGCATATTTAGATATATTTTTGAGCGCTTACCATATTCTGATACTAGAATATAAAATTCAGCTACTTGCTACATTGAATGTTGTTTACTTTTTCAGTTTTCTTTCCAAGTAAGTAAAATGCAAGTATATGTTGCAGTGTTACATGTGTAAGCTAGCTAATAGGGTCTATATTCAGAATAAATATAACAGTATTTCCAAGCATAAAAAAATATGATGGTATCTAACCATATGCATTAGCTTTTCACAAATTTTGCCTGGTAACAAAAGAAGCACTGTTGATTTTTTTTTATCAGCAGGTCAATGTGTATTTTTATGACTCATGCAGTATTTGTTCACTTTTGTGACCAAAGGAAATGCTTGGTAGTGTGTAGATATTCAGTGCATTCTCTTTAAATATGAATTACTAATAATGATCCTAAAAAATATATATAATCAAAAGAGTTTAAAGAAGTTCAGTAAGTTTACAAATCAAGCTAAGTGAGAATAAATTGTTTTGATTCAAATTGCATTTTGAAATTTAAAGTACACCTACAGTATGTGTGGTTCTGTTAAAAGGCATGAGTATTTTAAAAAGAATTGAAAGAAAATAGTTAGAAGCCACAGTTTTGATTTTACTCTAGAGAAGTAATAAACTAATAAAATGAACCATTGACGCTCTACTTACCTTTAAATATCAATTATGACTAATTTATTAGGTAAACTTTAAAATATCAGTTATTCATTTGATTGTTTAATAAATATTAATGAGCAGGTGTCAGTCACTTGCTTAGGGTATAATGCTTGGCGTATAATGATCTATATGATATCACAGAGTCTAATGGAATAGGAAGACACACACAATAATTAAAAGTTACTGTGGTAGGTGCAGTGGGAACCACTTATTCTGCTTGGGACCAATAGAAGAAAGCTTCAGAGAGGGTATGGTACCTTGCAGAATGAATAAAGAGATTTGCCAAGAAAAAATTTTTTTCAGTTATTTTCAGAAAAAACTTTCAACAGATGTTGCATGTCTACATTGTGCCAGGCATTATCTTTGGATGTGGTAGTAAGCAAGATGTTGTTCCTACCAGAGACGTAGCAAGGGTAACGAGCGCCCAGAGGCAGTCTCTTAAGTTGTGCCCCCCTCCCCCGCCCCCAAGCCTCATAGGAGGGGATTCACTGGCCTTATCCATAACCCCCTTGGTCTTCTGCCTGGGGGCAGGTGCCCCCCTCAGACCACACCTTGCTACGCCTCTGGTTCCTGCTGTCTTCAGCCTCAGCAGTTAGGTGGGTGGATTCAGACAAGACAAGTAAATGGACAGTTATAACACAGTATGTTAATTGCCACAGTTGAGAGCTATATATGTTTATACAGGGAGACCAGAGAGGATTCCAGGAGGAAATGATGTTTGTTTTCCACCACAGAGGTGGGAAAGAACAGAGAAAATTTGTAGTTTCTTGTAGATAGAACCTAAAGTGAATGGGAAGGGTAAAAAAAAAAGAAAAAAACCAAACCCGTTGCCGTCGAGTCAATTCCGACCCATAGCAACTCTATCGGACAGAGTACAGCTGCCCCATAGAGTTTCCAAGCAGCACCTGGTGGATTCGAACTGCTGATCTTTTGGTTAGTAGCCATACCTCTTAACCACTGTGCCACCAGGGTTTCCATGGGGAGGGCAGAGGCAGGAAAATTCTTGTAGTCTAGAAAGGAAGGTTATGGTTCTGAAATATTTTCTCCATGAAAAATTCTAACTAATTTCCCTTGGAATATATAATACTGGACCTAATTCAGACATAAGATTTTAAATAAGGGTTAAAAAATTAATAATGTATATTTTTTTCCCTTTAGTATTTAGCCTTGCAGGACCTGGTGTTGCTCTCTCAATATTCTCCTTCACGAAGACAAGAAGTTTTTAGTCTTAGCCAACCAGGTATTGTTAAAAGTAATAGACCCGATTAGGCGTGTTTGTGGGGAGAGTGTTCCATTTAAGTTTCTTTGTTTGTTTCAGATTTAAATTTTTAGAAAAAATTTTACTGTGTTTTAGGTGAAAATTTATAGTGCAGGTTAGTCCACTTGAAGTTTTTGATGAGTGAGTTCATTAAATGAAGTAATTTAAATCTTAAACAGCTAAGTGTTTTCATTGCTGTAGGTAGAACTGATGTCACCAGGAAAAGTTTAAGATTTTTCATCTTATTTCCTTCAGCTGCCTCATTCCCTTTACCTGTAGAAATTATGAAGTAGATTGACAGTTTTAGAGAAGAAAAGCACAGCGTAAGAATCCTAGAAGTTTTAATGCTCTTAAAAATTAAGTAGTGTAATCCCTAGATGGAGGATCTAAGTCTCAAATAGATTAAGTGGCTTTTGACTCCGAATGCAGAGCCCCTTCCCCTGCTATGCTTACTTTGCCTCTCTTCAAAAAAAAAAGTAAGAAAGAATTAGATTTGACAGTGACCCAAGGATGCTCTTGGCAACTCTGAAACACTTCTCCACTCTTAACTTGTCAAGCTCTTCAAGACCGCAGCTTTGCCAGGTCTCTGCCTTGTCCCTAGAAGGAATGCAGTCCAGCCCCAGCCACCAGTGGGGAACAAAGACCCAGAGTAGCTGTTCATCTTCTCTAATCAGCTCTTCATTATTTTGCCAAACTTGCCAATTTTCAGATTGTACGATAAATCGCCTATAGTTAAATGTTACATGCAAGTGAAAAAGTTATATAAAATTAGAAATGATTGGAACCACTTTCTCTTTTAGTGGCATGAAAAATCCAGAGCTGATGCTGTGGAAAATAAACTGTAGCAGTACTTCTCTTTCAGACATAGGTTTACTTACGAATTCTCTATACATTAAATATTTTTGCCAGAGATTCAGGTAAACTGTAACAGGGTGACATGCTGTCTGCCAGTGAACTTGCATTCTAGGACATATTATTACAATTTAACTTGACTATTACATAGTTCCTTAGTGGTCTTGAGTTACAGCAGCACAAGGCATCATGGGGCCTACCGATGGAGGTTTTTTATTGTTGTTAGTGGTATTCATCTTGAGTTTGTAAATAAGGGGCATGTTTAAGGAGGGATCTACGTGGAGAGAAGATGATTGATTGGCAGCCAGGATGGGTAGACCAGTTTTCAGTGGACTCCTCTGCTATTCTCAACAGATAACAAAGCCTGGTTGATTTTTACATGACAGCTCTAGAAGACGAAGGTCTTAGAAAATCAAAAGATAATGAGGAGTAAGGGAATTTTAAAAAGAATATGGATCACAGTAGTTTAGATAATTAGATAGCAGATATGTATATAAACTATCCAAGTATAATGTATCATCACTGTTAAATAATGGGTCACTTCTACAGATGTAATAGCAAATAGGGCTGTTACACAAATGAAGACGTAAGAAAGCCCAGTGGGTCAGGCACAACAGTGCAGAGGTCACTGGGGACCGTGGTTATATCACATTAGACATGCTAGTGTTTATTGTCTTAGTCTTCAGTCTGTTCAGCACTGCTGGTGAAGTAACTGTGGTCTTTTTTTAAACTGAGCTCTGGTGTTTGGCTTTATTTTAGTGACCAATTTGAGAGTATTTTTTTTTATGGTAAAATAACAGGTTTTTGCTTGTAGACTTTTGGGAAAATTAATTCATTCCGTAAATATTTACTGAGTTGCTGTGTATGAGATGGCATGAGTATAAATAGTAGCTTAACTAAAACATGTGGGCCCTGATGCAAAGTGTAATGTAGCATTTCTTGTTGATTTTTCTCTCCACTTTGAGAGGAGAATATAAGATGGTCTGCATTTTCAAGGCTGGTGTTTGACCTTCTAGGTGGACATCCCCACAACTGGACAGCCATTTCGAGGGAGTGTTTGAGTCTTCTAAATGATATGACTCAGAAATTGGTTTTCTACCAAGAAGCAGCTGCTACGAATGGGAGAGTGATATCTTCATCGTACCCAATGGAACCTAAGAAATTTAACTCTCCAGGTAACTCCTAGTACTACTAAGAGAGGAGAAAACCTTTACATTTTTTTTCTAAGAAAGAAGATAGTAGTTAACCTCAGGATATATAAATGAACGTGAGGTAGTATATATACTTAGGAAATAGTGATACAACTTATGGGATATTGTACTGAACTAAGAAAAAGACCTATGTATCATTGTAGATTGAAAAAATTAAGTCCAGTGTGGTAATGGTGTTAAAAAGGCTGACAAAGTGTTCGTCATCAAACAGAAGCCTTCAGCTTACTCTAGTACAAAGCCAGGTGAATCCTTACAGATAATTTTGGATGTTGTTCTGTTTGCAGTACCCCAGAGACAAAAAGTTGCTGGACAGTGTCGAGAGAAGGGTAGGGCATTACGCTTACTGTTTCAGGATAGCCTGATATATTGTTAGTACTCCTTCAGTTTGAACGATGAAAGGCTGAGAGGAAGAAATGCAGGTGGAGGAACCTGTGCTATTTCACTAAATCCCTTAAGTAGAAGATGCCTATGAATGTAAGACTGCTAAAGGGCTTAATGTTCAGATGACTTTTGGAGCCAGACATTTAGAAAACGAGTGAAACTGGCTGGATGAGGACTGGGATGGTAAACTGGAAAGAAAGCACAGGCTTCATCTGAGGAGGGAAGCTGTGGGTGAGCTTCAGGCATTGTTCCCATGTGGGAATTTGGACCCAGTACCTGAACTTCCAGTATTTTTGTTTTTTTGTTTTTTTTTTTTAATTGTACTTCAGGTGAAGGTTTACGGAACAAATAGTTTCTCATGAAACAGTAGTACACATGTTGTTTTATGACATTGGTTAACAACCCTACAACATGTCAACCCTCTGCCTTCTCAACCTTTTTTTTTTGGTGAAAATATACATAGCCAAAGATACGTTTTTGTTTTTTTAAGAGAAACCTGAAATCTAAAAATTTTAGGTGAAATCTTTCACTTTTGGCATGTTGGCAACTATTTCTGATATTGAAAATCCCTATATGGATCAAAGCAGATACATCTGTGTGTTTGAAGTCATTTACTCTGGAGGGGTTATGGACCAAAAACACAAATAGATTACAGGTGAAAAGTGATTTAAATAAGTTCATGAATGTCAGATTTTAAAAGATCCTAGGGTATTTCAGATGTTATCAACTTTCAACATTCATTTTTTCAACAAATGCTTATTGAATGCCTACTGTGTACCAAACAATATGCTACAAGCCAGGGAAAAAATGCTCCTGGAACTGACCTTTTAGTGGGAGGCACACAAATAATGACAAGACCATATAAGTGCTAAAGGAAATCTATAAAGTATAATAGAAGTATAGAGGCGAAGGTGAATCTGCCTGATTTCATTAGCTATTTGGATCTCCCTGATCTCTCCCACAGCAGTCTGTCCTTTCAAAACATTCTTCATACTTTGGACTGCTTGTTCATTTTATCTTCCCCACTGGTCTGTAAGCTCCATGAGGGTAGCCACAGGTCTCCAATAAATACTTGTTGATTAAAGGGGAATAGGCTAAGTTTTATGGATGGTAACAAATGAGCTAAGACCTGAAGCAAAGTGGAGAGGAGGTTTGCAGGGAATGGCTGGGTGTCGTATCCTCGGCAAGAAAAATAGTGTGATTAGACGTATAGAAAAGTGAGAAAACTGACTGTGTTCTTGAAATAACTCGTAGTTTAGTATTATTGAAGTATAAAGTGTGAGGGAGAGAATGTGGAAAGGAGTGTGAGCAGGTAAGAAGTTGTTTAACAATGAAATGCTACGAAAAGCAGTTTCGATTTTATTCTGTGTAGGCTGTGACACGGAGCCATTTAAGAATTTTGAATAGGTTAATGACATCAAAGTAGCACATTAGAAGGATCATTGTCATCCTGGGGTCTGTGGATTATGGGCCTGACCAAGTATGGAGCATTTATTATTTTAAACTGTTATAATATCCAGTCACTCAGCCAAAATTTGTCTCTAATTTTGAGGAATAATTACAAAACTTTTAAACACCTTAGTCTTTATTTTTAAATTGATTCTCCAAAGATTTCTAATTTCCACTAAATCTCAAAAAGTCACGTTATGAAATTTTGATACTTCAGATGTTTACTGTCTTATAGTGGTTTTATTAAGGAGATAGAATCCTTATTAATTTATTTGTCTTTGTGCTTTGTGTTGGAGTGGCAGGAAAAATGTTACTTTGCTTTTGTGCAACAAACTTTATAACTAAATTGATAGAGAGTTATAAAATAATTTTTTTGTTTTGTTTTGGGAGCTTGTTGAAGCCATCATGGTCTGCCTCTTTATGTGGTTTGATATTGACTGTTGTCTCCGAGCTATCGATAAGTTATTATATTTGTGTAGTTCATGTTTGCTTACTGTGTCCTAGCTTCTTGTTTTGATATGCCCAGATAGGCTGGTCGTGTGAGCTAGTTTGATAATGGGCGCCTTTGAAGCTCTAATGTCCTGTCACCAGGTGGTTAGATCTGTTACTAGGTATGCGAGCCCAGGAGTCTGTTTACTTTTCTTGTGTGGGTTCAGCTCAGGTGTCTAGGTAGTTGGTCACCAAATGTGTGGTGCAGGCTCTCACCTACAGTCCTAGACAGGCAGGGTGATTGGTGTAGGCACAGGTATCTGGCTGCAGTAGGGGGTCACACGCTGAGCAAGGCAGGGGGCTGATGGCTGCCCCTGAGTGTCTGGGAGGAAAGTGTGTCCCTGTTTCCTAGAGTGCATAGGTGGGTGGGTTTTGCAGCCTGACTATGAGCACCCAATGCTGTTGGCTGTAAGGACTGGGAGGTACCACTTATTCTTGGACCCCTGTCACCAGTGGCTAGGTGGCATGGGTGGAGCCACCAGTCCTCAGGCCCCAGATGTAGATAGGCGAGGTTGCTGCTTAATGGGCAGAGCAGTGTTAAATGTCACAAACCTGCCACTTCACCATATAGCTGATACAGTTGAAGTTAGGCTTCAGGTATATACCCTGTTGTACTGTGGTAATGAGGGCGTACACTGATATGGGCCCACACAGGTCTGTGCAGAGGTGAAAGGCATTCAAAGTCCCTGGACCCCTTATGCTTGTGCCTAGGCAAAGGAGCTGTGCCTGCCCTGAGTTCCTGGCTTAGGGGAGCTGGCAGATTATTTTTTCCTGTTTGTTAATTTGTTCCATCTCCAAGGCCGGGAGAATGGCTTAGGGTGCTTGATGGGTCCTACTTCCAGCCCAGGGGACTTGGCAGTCACTGAAGCGGACCCAGGACCCAGTGCAGAGCAGTGAGGGTACAGGTAATTGGGAGAGAGGTTTTTCCCAAAGTGGGTGTTTTTTGATCTGCGCGGTAGGTCAGACACATGTACTTTTCTTTTGCTGATGGAGCGCTGCTTTTCACTGGTTCTGGAGGCCTGAGTACATTCTCTGCCGCTCAGTCTCTCCTGATGTGGAAAACGCCTTCTGAGCGCCACTGCTTGCCTGCCTCACCGCACACGCCAGCCAGTCTGGCTTGAAGGGTGCCGGCTCCTGCCGTGTCAGGTCTGGCAGCTCCTTGCTGCTTCTGAACCATATCTCCCTCCCCCCGCCACTTAGTCTGATTCCTCAATTTTGCCTTTGATGTTTAGGGCTCCTAGATTGTCATACGTAATTGATTCACTTGTTTTTTGGGGTCTTTATTGTAAGAGGGACCACAGGAAGTATCTGACTACTCTGCCATCTTGACCCCGCCTCAGTTAAAAGATAATTTTTAAAGAAGCTCTTTATAGATCAGATTTATCAAGTCAGATGTATAGATCTCCTGGACAAATTAGTCTTTGGTGTGACTTTTGTTGACTTGGAAGAATTTCAGGTAAAATAAGATTATTAGCATTTTCCGTACATTTTCACAATATAGATTTGCTATGTTTAGCTAAGTAGAAACATGCTGTAAGACTGGCCAGATTCTAATGCAGTGATTAAAATTGCTGCCATTTAAAAATGTAAATTGATGAGTTCAGTCTAAATCAGCCCAGAGTTAGAGAAACTGACCTTGGAGATGAGAATATTCATGGAAGGGAAAAAACAGAGAGGCTACCCCAGTCTGACAGAAAAAAAAAAAAAAAAAAAACAAGAGAAAACCAAACCCAGTACTGTCGAGTCAATTCCGACTCATAGTGACTCTGTAGGACAGAGTAGAACTGCCCCATAGGGTTTCCAAGGCCATAAATCTTTATGGCAGCCGACTGCCATATCTTTCTCCGACAGAGTGGCTGGTGGATTTGAACTGCCAACCTTTCTGGTAATAGCAGAGTGCTTAACCACTGTACCACCAGGGCTCCTTCAGTCTGACAGAAAAAGATGTATAAAGCTCCTTGATGTTTGTCAACTCTTGAATATGAATGTGAACACTCATTGAATTGCAGTGGTAAAATATGGATCTTGGGAATGTAAACCTAAATGGAAACAATCTACTGAGCCTTAGGTAAATGCATTAAACAAAAAGTTGAGATGTATAAAATTTGAGAACGTGTGCACTGGCTATGTTCTTTTACAGAAGAAACTACTTTTCAGACACCAAAATCTAGCCAGATGACTCGACCTTCAGTGCCACCATTAGTTAAAACATCGCTGTTTTCTTCAAAATTATCTACACCTGATGTTGCAGGTTCCCTGGGCACTCCTTTTGGCTCTAGTGTAATGAACCGGATGGCTGGAATTTTTGATGTAAACACCTGCTATGGGTCACCTCAAAGTCCTCAGCTAATAAGAAGAGGGCCAAGATTATGGACTTCTGCATCTGGTGGGGACAATTTATTTTCTAAAATTTGTAATGTCACAGTTATAGAGATCAGACAGCCTAACCTCATACCTTACTGTTGTTTTTTTTTTTTAAATAGATCAACAAATGACTGAATTTTCCAATTCTTTTCCATCTACCTCTGTTAGTGCTGAGGGTAAGACAGTGGGACAGCCCAGTATGATTTATTCATGGATACAGAACAAACGTGAACAGGTAGGATGATGTGGCTGTAGGACTTCTATTTGAACGCAGTATTGAGGGCATTAGCGATCTCATATGAATAAGCCATCAGGAATAAATAGGTGGGGTTTTGTTTTGTTTTTTTACATTTTATGTATTAAATTGAAACATGAAATTGTCAACATTCAACTGATTTTGAGCTATACAAATGGTGATTTCGTTTTACTTAACCTAATACAGTGTCTATGACCTGTGAATTCTTTCATTTAAGGAGTATTTATTGAGTTCTTTATATATGTGAGATGGGATTTTAGGCACTGGGAAAATAGCACAGACAAAGCAAAATCCTTGCCCATGTAATGTTTACATTCTAGTGAGGGGAAATAGATGAGCACGCAAATAAATGCATTATAGTATATTTCTTTGAATATAAAATGCATTAATTCTAAGGCTATTATTTTATGTACTATTAAGAAAAAAAGTTGTCAGTTAAGCCGTGACATGCTGTCGACTGTGAGATGCATCCAGTATGTGATGTTAAAATATGAAAAATATGGGTTATAAAAGGAAAGGAATTTGGCATGTCTTATGTAAAAAACATGAAGCAGGTAAGGGAGATAGAAGATACCTAGGGGAGGGAGTACCATTTTATGTGGGATGATCAGAGGACATTTCATTGATAAGATGACTTGATCAGAGAATGAAGGTGTGGCAGGGAATAGCAGAATGCAGAAGTCCTGAGGTGGTGGTGTTGCCTGTGTGAGGAACAACAGGACACCAGTGTGGCTGGAGCAGAGTGAGTGAGGGAAGAGTGGTAGGTGGGTGACGAAGTCAGAGAGCTAGCCGGCACTCTGAGCACATTGGGCCATTAGCTGTTATAAAGACTTCGGCTGTTTCTTCAAGTGAGATGGAAAGCCGCTGGATGGTTTTGCCCCCAAGACTGACATGATGTAACTTAACTTTTTGAAAGTGCTGCTCTGGCTGCTTTATTGAGAATGGGATGTAGGAGGTCAGGAGTGGAAGCAGAAAGATACTGGTGAGGCTCTTGCAGTGATCTAGTGGGAGATGGTGATATCTTTGACCACAGTGGTTATGGTGGAAGTTGTCAAATGTGAATCAGGGTCTGGATATATCTTGAAAGTAGAGGTAGTAGGATTTACTTATTGTTTGGTTGTGGCCTGTTAGAGAATACATCAGTGTTGACTCTAAGGTTTTGGCTTGAGGATCTGGATAATATAGTTGCAATTTATTGAGTTGCAATTTACTGATTCTGGAGGAGATTTGATAGAGGTTAGGTAGGGAAATCAGGAGTTTGATTCTGGACATGTCAATTTTGAGATACCTATATGAGTCAGAATTGACTGAACAGGTATTAGACCACCAAGTGAAAATACTGAGTAAGAAATTGGACATAATATCTGGAGTGTAAGGTAAAGTTCTGGGCTAGAAATGTAAATTTGGAAGTTATCAGAGTATAGATGGTATTTAAAGTTATGAGACTAGATGAAAACTCAGAGACAGAAAAAAAACATCCAAGAACTGGGGCCGCTCCAGTGATTAAAGGCAGGGAGATGTGTGGAACAGCAAAGGAGACTGAGGAGTGGTCATTGAGGTGAGAGGAGAACCAATAAAATGTCTCCAGGAGAAGGAGGGTGTGTCACATGCTGAGTGTCAGGTACCTGAGATGCAAACTAAGAGTGCATTAGAAATGTGGAGGTCTTTGAGGCCTTGGCAGGAGCTATTGGTGGAATAGGGGGGACGAAAGCCTGATTGGAATGGGTTCAGGAGTGATGGGAGAGGAATTGGAGACTGCAGGAAAAGCCAGATCTTTCAAGGAGTTTTCTGTGAGGGAAGCAGAGAAATGGGATAATCGCTGGAAGGAGTTGAGGAATCAAAAGGGTTGTAGTTTTTAAGATGGTAGAATTTATAACATGTTTGCTAATGGAACGATCAATTATAGAGAAGGAATAACTGAAGACATTTTACAAACTTCAGAGTTCCATATGGTTTTATGTGCTGCCAAGTACTGCCGTGTCACTTTTTGTGTAGCAACTAGACATGTTCCGTCTGCTACATCCCTCTGGCTTTTGGGGTGAGAGTATAGTAGGAGCAAATTCACTTTCAAGTCAGTTGGAATAATATAGTTTCTAGCTTTATACTAAGAAATATTTTTCCCCTGTTAAGTGTCAACTAGTAGAAAAACACTTTGAGACTTAAGATTCTTTTTTGGTTTTTTTGGTAGGTGAAACATACTCTCTTGGTATTAAGAAGGTAAAGGGCAAGACAGCTGTAGAGAACTGATAAAGAATGTAGTCTTAGAAAATATCACCAGAACGACTTAGAATTCCTTTTATTATGACAGTTCTAATTTGGTGGTTAGATGTGTGTATATGGGCATGCAATTTAGGTTAGGTGGCTCATCTTGGTTATCTAATTTATAGTACAAAGGTATTCACTTAAGTGGTTTATTGTAAATATCATTGTTCTTTCTCTGCAAGATGTAACGTGTTTCATTATTTGCATTCAAGTTAATGTCAGGAAGAACCTGGGAATGTGTAATAGTATACTTGAGTAGAATGGAAAACTGTAAATATTGCTTTTTTTTCTCCCCCCCAACTCAGATTAAGAACTTCTTGTCAAAACGGGTGCTGATAATGTATTTTTTCAGTAAGGTAAGAATATGTAGTTATAGCATTGGTAATGGGGGAGAGGAAATGAAATAAGAAATGAAGTAGGAGATAGGATGTGACTTCTAAATATTTTACAGCTTAATCCTAGCAAGCCAAACAGCTTTGCATAGTACTTCACTGAACCTCCATTTAAACAGTAGTTGCCCTAGACACATCTCACCTCCGTGAGTTCCTGACGCTCGACTCAGTAGTTGGCCCCCTGAGTCTCTTGACTGTAGGCAGCTTTGTGCTGATATGCGACATCTACCTGCTTCCTGCTATCTGGATTTTCCCAAAGTGAGCACATCTACTATGGCTATCTGATGCTTCATGGCTGATTATTCTGCCAACATCTTTGTGGCCAATTTGGTGTTAAAAAGAGAGTTGACTGAGTTAGATTGCAGATGCTAAACTTGTGATGGATTAAAAAGTTGTAATTCAGGCCACAAACTAAATGACTTTCCATTTTGCCTGTTAGCTGCTCTAGCTGCCACAAGAGAGTAAATAACAGTTGCAGAGGTTAAAGATTCGGTCTGTTTTCACTGGCTACAGCTGTTATGTGTTATTTAATCCTTTGATGAGCAAAACCTTTGCACATATGTAGGGGAAATAGTTTTTGGTTTTAGTTTTTTAATCTAGCGTCTCTCTTTCTGCAGGTATCGCAGTATTAGCTAATATTGCACTCATTCAATTAATGCCTTCAAGTGGCATCATTATTAATTTTTATTCTTTGAGAGTTCATCATCTGGTGGGGAAAGAGATCTGAGAAACCCTGAAAGAAATACAGATAGGCACAACAAAGAATTATTTCCAGCTCTTGAGACTGATTTTTCACTATGGTGGAAGGGAAGATTCACCCAACTAGCAATTACCTTCACCAAAAAATAATCTACCTTAGGCTATCCATTAGAGCTTTGGAAAAACTATCAGACCTCTAGATCCACCCATCTGGCAGTTACCTTCACCAAATAATAATCTGCCTTAGACTATTCATTAGCGCTTTGGGAAAGCTTTAAAGAAGGAAGAGAGGTGGTCTGAAATTGTACTTCAGTGTTTTGTTACAGAAGGATGGGAAGAGAACTCATCCTGAGTATCTTTTGTATGCCCTGCTCTTTTCATTTAAGTTTCCTCATTTAGTTCTAATAACAATCCTGTGAGTTATGTCTTGTTCTCATTTTACGAATGAGGAAACCTGAGGCTCTGAGAGGTCAGGTGCCTAGCCTAAGGGCATATAGCCAAGTAAAGTGACAGAGAAGACCCTGAATAAGATCTCCCTTTGCCTTGGAAGGAAACCCTGGTGGCCTAGTGGTTAAGAGTTTGGCTGCTAAGCAAAGGATCGGCAGTTCGAATCCACTAGGCGCTTCTTGGAAACCCTGTGGGGCAGTTCTGCTCTATCCTGTAGGGTTGCTATGAGTAGGAATCAACTCAGTGGCAATGGTTTGGGTTTTTGGTTTTTCCTTGAAAGTGAATGCCTACTTTTGATTATTACTTTGCAAGTGGATCTATTGTATGGTAAAAGTTCTAAACACTGCTATTTGGTATTGAGCTTAATAGGCTTCATTGGATGCATAATAAAAACCAGCGTTTGTTTAAATGGGCCGATTCTTGCTCCATGCTATTCAACCTTGATAAATTAAAGAGATTGGGATGTTTTTCTCTGGAGTGGGATTAAGGGTTAAAGGCAGGTAATATGTATTTGAAGTCCCTGGGTGGTGCGAACAGTGAGTTAACTTGGCTGCTAACAGAAACAGTTCTGCTGTTACACACATGGGGTGTCTATGAGTTAGAATCAACTCTGTGGCGCTTTGTTTAAAAAAAAAAGAAGTATTTAAGCAGTTCCTTTTGTTTCTAAAAAAAGCTTTCTTAGCTATTCTCTTAAATTATCTTTGTACTAAACTTCTGAAGTGAGTCGAACATATGTAACTCTTATTTTAAATGAGAAACTGAGTCACAGAGAGATTTAGAAACTTGACAAAGGTCACAGAATAAGCTGGTGGCAGAATGCAGTTCAGTCATATTGTATAAGAATTTATTTCAGATTTTAATTCTTGAGAGGCAGAATATGTAAATTTTTTGTTATAATCTACGTAGTTGATTAAATGAAATATATATATACATACGCACATGCACACCTACTCCTCACTTATCGACTGTCCCATTATCTGACATTTAGCATTTATGGCAATATTAAAAAATCTACTGTCTGAATGTTTTGCGCATGAATGATGTGTGTCTGGCAGTAACGAATGCCAGGGTGGGAGGTGAGAGTAATGCTGGCTATGATGGTTAAGGTTACGTGTCAACTTGGCTGGGCCATGATTCTCAGTGGTTTGGCAGTTATGTAATGATGTAATTTTGCAGTTACGCAATGATGTAGTCATCTTCCATTTTGTGATCTGATGCAATCATTTGTCATTTTGGCATAATGCCGATTTTTGCATAATGACCTGGTCTTTGGAACCTAACCATGTCAATAAGTGATGAGTGTGTATGTGTGTGTTTGTGTATAAATAGAGTTTTTAATGTTTTGTTTTATTTGTAGCACCCAGAGGCCTCCATTCAGGCTGTTTTTTCAGACGCCCAAATGCATATTTGGGCATTAGAAGGTAAGTAGTCTCATTGAACTGTAAATATGATTTTAATTATAGTTAAACATTGAAGTAAATATAAGAAAGATCAGTTTCGGACTTTGATCTCGATCTGAATTTTCAGATACATTTTTATATCTTTGTTTTTATCAGCTCTTTTTTTCAGATATTTAGTTTGTACTTTAATTTGGGCAGAAATTTTTATTGTATATAAGCAGAGAAACTGCGCCTGAGATTCTTCTATATTTTTTTCTATTTCAAAAAAAAGCAATGAATAAATTGTTTTTAACTGCCAACTTTTGTTAAACATGAGCTGCTGCTTTTCATCTTATAGACACTGCCTTCTCAGTGCTTAAATGGTATTTCCTCAGAGAGGCCTTTCCGGACCACCCTGTGAATGTATTCTCTTCACCACCTTCACTGTACTCCCTTACCGTGCTTTATTTTGTTTCCTAGCACTTATCGCTATCCAACACAATGTTTTTCCTTTTTTAAAATACTTCCTCTACTAGAATGTAAAGCAGAGACTTTATTCACGACCAATGACGTTGAGCACCTTTTCAGTGCCCGTTCAGATATTTTACGCATTTTTATATTGCATTGCCCCCACTTTTTTTTCTTTTTTTTTTAATAGGAGTTCTTTATATATTCAGCATATCAACCCTTTGTTAATTAGATGTATTGGAAATAGATTTGCCTAATATTGATTCATGTTTAACTTGTGTGTTTGTTTCGTTTTCTTTTTCCCTTGAGGTCTGTCTCACTTAGTAGCAGCATCATATACAGAAGATAGATTTGGAGTTGTCCAAACTACACTACCAGCTATTCTTAATAGTTTGCTGACACTGCAAGAGGTGAGCAGTCTGTAGGTTAGGTGGGGGTAGAGGTTTGCCCCTGTTCTAAAGTTTGTTTGTTTCTTTTTTTTTTTAATTGTGCTTTAAGTGAAAGTTTACAATTCAAGTTAGTTTCTCATACAAAAATTTATACACACATTGTTATGTGATCCTAGTTGCTCTCCCTATACTGTGACAGCACACTCTTCTTTTCTACCCCAGATTTCCCGTGTCCATTCAACCAGCTCCTGACCCTCTCTGCCTTCTTATCTGGCCTCCAGACAGGAGCTGCCCATTTAGTCTCGCGTATCTACTTGAGCTAAAAAGCACACTCTTCACGAGTATCATTTTATGTCCCAAAGTCCAGTCTAATCTTTGTCTGAAGAGTTGGCTTCGGGAATGGTTTTAGTTTTGGACTAACAGAGAGTCTGGGGGCCATGTCTTCTGGGGTCCCTCCAGTCTCAGTCAAACCATTAAGTCTGGTCTTTTTACTAGAATTTGAGTTCTGCACCCCACTTTTCTCTTGCTCCGTCAGGGACTGTCTTTGTTGTGTTCCCTGTCAGGGCGGTCTTTGGTGGTAGCCAGGCACCATCCAGTTCTTCTAGTCTCAGGCTGATGGAGTCTCTGGTTTATACAGCCCTTTCTGTCTCTTGGGCTGGTATTTTCCTTGTGTCTTTGGTGTTCTTCATTCTCCTTTGCTCCAATTGGGTTGGGACCAATTAATGCATCTTGGATGGCTGCTCAGTATCTTTTAAGACCCCAGATGCCACACATCAAAGTGGGATGCAGGACGTTATCTTAATAAACTTTGTTGTACCAGTTGACCTAGATGTCTCCTGAAACCATGGTCCCTAGACCCCCGCCCAAGCCTCTCTGTTCCTTGAAGTGTTTGATTGTATTCAGGAAACTTCTTAGCTTTTGGTTTAGTCCGGGTGTGCTGACTTTCCCTGTATTGTGTGTTGTCCTCCCCTTCACCTAAGATAATTCTTATCTACTATCTAGTTAGTGAATACCCCTCTCCCTCACTCCCTACCCTCATAACCATCAAAGAATATTTTCTTCTGTGTTTAAACGTTTCTTGAGTCCTTACAATAGTGGTCTTAAACAATATTTGTCCTTTTCGACTGACTAAATTCAGCATAATGCCTTCCAGATTCCTCTATGTTATAAGATGTTTCATGGATTCATCGTTGTTCTTTATTGTTGTGTAATATTCCATTGTGTGAATATACCATAATTTGTTTATCCATTTGTCCATTGATGGGCACCTAGGTTGTTTCCATCTTTTTGCTATCATGAACAGTGCTGCAGTGAATGTGGGTGTGCATATATCTATTCGTGTGATGGCTCTTATTTCTCTAGGATATATTCCAAGGAGTAGGATAGCTGGATCATATGGTACTTTATTTCTAGCTTTTTAAGGAAGCACCAAATGGATTTCCAAAGTGGTTGTACCATTATACATTCCCACCAACAGTATATAAGTGTTCCAGTCTCTCCACAACCTCTCCAACATTTATTATTTTGTGTTTTTTGGATTAATGCTAGCCTTGCTGGGGTGAGATGGTATCTCATTGTAGTTTTGATTTGCATTTCTCTAATGGCTAATGATCTTGAGCATTTCCTCATGTGTCTTCTAGCTGCCTGAATGTTTTCTTTGGCCAAGTGTCTGTTCATATCCTTTGTCCATTTTTTAATTGGGTTGTCTTTTTGTTGTTGAGGTTTTACAGTATCTCGTAGATTTTAGAGAGTAGACGCTGATCGGATTTGTTGTAGCCAAAATTTTTTTCCCAGTCTGTAGGTTGTCTTTTGACTCTTTTGGTGAAGTCTTTTGATGAGCATGAGTGTTTGATTTTTAGGAGCTCCTAGTTATTTAGTTTCTCTTCTGGTGTTTGTGCATTGTTACTTATGGTTCATATTGTGTTTATGTCATGTATTAGGGCTCCTAGCGTTGTCCCTATTTTTTCTTCATGATCTTCATCATTTTTGATTTTCTATTTAAGTCTTTAATCCATTTTGAGTCATTTTTTGTGCATGGTGTGAGATGTGGGTCTTTATTTCCTGAGGAGTGGATTCCGACTCATGACAGCACTATGTTTATGTAGAGTAAAACTGCTCCTTAGGATTTTCGAGGTTGTGGCCTTTTAGAAGCAGAGTGCCAGGCCTGCCTTCCTAGGTGCTTCTCTGTGGGTTTGAACCACCAACCTTTTGGCAAGCAGTCCAGTACTTAACTGTTTACACCACCCAGGGACTCCTATGTCCACATAGATAGTTTTATTATTTGTACTCTTCTCTCAACTACCTTTCTCTAAAGATATAATTTCCTAGTATTTCCCCATAGCTTCTAATCTTTGGCTTGCCTAACTACACAAGGGGTAACTCTGATTTGGTGATGTTTTTGGTGCTCATATCATAGATTGTTTTTTTTATCACTCTGGCTGTGTATATAAAATAACAGTAATAAAAATAACTCCTCGTCTTTGTACAGTGCTTTATAGTCTTCAGAGTGATGTTGTATCATTATTTAATCCTCGTAGCTATCTTGTAAGGTAAGCAAGATGGAGATATCATAGCTCTGTTTTAAAGGTGAGGTAGGCTTAGAAGTACAGTGACCTACCTCAGGTCTCAGGAGTCTCGTAGGAGGCAGAGCTGTGACTTGAACCCACTCCGATTGCAGGCTTTTAACAGTGTAGCAGTCCTCAAAAAAATCTACAGATCTACATCCTTTATTCTTTCTGAACTTTTCTACCATCTGGTCTTTTTTTTCCTCCCCACGTAGGGCTTGCTCTTCAGAGTGCCCTTAGATCCTTGGCTTTCAAACTTTTTGGACCGTGATCTGCAGTTGTTGTTAGGTGCCATCAAGTTGGTTCCGACTCATAGCTACTATGTACAACAGAATGAAACACTGCTTGGTCCTGCACCATCCTCAAAATCCTTGTTATGCTTGAGCCCATTGTTGCAGCCACTGTGTCAGTCTATCTTGTTGAGGGTCTTCCTCTTTTTAGCTGAACCTCTCCCTTACCAAGCGTGCTGTCCTTCTCCAGGGACTGGTCCCTCCTGATAACATGTCCAAAGCACATGAGATGAAGTCTTGCCATCCTCGCTTTCAAGGAGCATTCTAGGTGTACTTCTTCCAGTACAGACTTGTTTCTTCTTCTGGCAGTCCATGGTATAATATTCTTCGCCAGCACCATAATTGAAAGACGTCAATTCTTCTTCAGTCTTCCTTATTAATTGTCCAGCTTTCGCATGCATACGAGGTGATTGAAAACATCCTGGCTTGAGTCAAGTACACGTTAGTCCTTAAAGTGACATGTTTGCTTTTCAACACTTTAAAGAGGTCTTTTGCAGCATGTTTGCCCAGTGCAATATGTCGTTTAATTTCTTGACTCTTGCTTCCATCTTGGGCATTGATTGTGGATCCAAGTACAATGAAATCCTTAATAACTTCAGTCTTTTCTCTGTCATGATGTTGAATACTGGTCCAGTTGTAAAGATTTTTGGTTGTTTTTTGTTGCGGTGTAATCCATACTGAAGGCTGTAGTCTTTGATCTTCATCAGTAAGTGCGTCAAGTGCTCTTCACTTTCAGCAAGCAAGGTTGTGTCATCTGCATATTGCAGGCTGTTAATGAGTCTTCCTCCAATCCTGATCTGCATTGTTCTTCATATACTCCAGCTTCTCGCATTATTTGCTCAGCATACAGGTTGAACAAAGATGGTGAAAGGATACAACCCAACGCGCACCTGTCCTGATTTTAAACCATGCAGTATCCGCTTGTTCTGTTTGAACAACTGCCTCTTAGTCTATGTACAGGTTCCACATGAGCACAATTAAGGGTTCTGGAATTCCCATTCCTTGCAGTGTTATCCATAATTTGTTATGATCTACACAGTCGAATCCACACAAAATGCTTGCTTGGTCAGTAAAACACAGGTAAACATCTTCTGATATGCTCTTTCAGTCAGCATCCATCTGACATCAGCAACGGTACCCCTTGTTTCACATCTTCTTCTGAATCCAGGTGAATTTTTGTCAGTTCCGTGTCAATGTACTGCTGCAACTTTTTGAATTATGTTCGGCAAAATTTTACTTTCGTGTGATACTACTGATGTTCTTCAATAATTTCCACATTCTGTTGGATCACCTTTCTTTGGAATGGGCACAGATATTTCTCTTCTAGTCAGTTGGCCAGGTAGCTGTCCTCCAAATTGCTTGGCCTAGACAAGTGAGCACCTACAGCGCTGCATCTGTTGGTTGAAACATCTCGATTGTTTTTCCATCAATTCCTGGAGCCGTGTTTTTCGGCAGTGCCTTCGGTGGAGCTTGGACTTCCTCCTTCGCTACCATAGGTTCTTGATCATATACTGCCTCCTGAAATGGTTGATCATCGACCAGTTCTTTTTGGCACAGTGATTCTGTATTCCTTCAATTGTCTTTTGATGCTTCTGTGTCATTCAATATTTTGCCCATAGAATCCTTCAAAATCGAAACTTGAGGCTTGAATTTTTTCTTGCAGCTTGAGAAATGCCAAGCGTGTTCTTCTTTTTTGTTTTTCTAACTCTAGATCTTTGCATACTTCATTATAATACTTTGTCTTCTCAAGCTGCCCTTTAAAAATCTTCTGTTCTACTCTTTTACTGCATCATTTCTTCATTTGCTTTAGCTACTCTACGTTCAAGAGCAAGTTTCAGAGTCTCTTCTGACATCCACTTTGGTCTTTTCTTTCTTCCTTGTCTGTTGAAAGACCTTTTTCTTTCTTCATGTATGATGTCCTTGATGTCATGCCCCAACTTACCTGGTCTTCAGTAATTAGTGTTCAATGCGTCAAATCTTTTCTTGAAATGTTCTCCAAATTCATGTGGGATATACTCAAGGTAGTATTTTGGCTCTTGTGGACTTGTTTTAATTTTCTTCAACCTCACCTTGAACTTGCATATGAGCAATTGATGTTCTATTCTGTAGTCAGCTCCTGGCCTTGTTCTGACTGATAATATTGAGCTTTTTCATCGTCTCTTTCCACAGATGTAGTCGATTTGATTCCCTGTGTTTTCCATCTGGTGAGGTGCTCGTGTATAGTCGCTGTTTATGTTGTTGAAAAAAAAGGTATTTGCAATGAATAAGTTGTTGGCCTTGCAAAATTCTATCATATGTTGTCATTTCTATTACCAAGGCCATATTCCAACTACCAATCCTTCATTTTTGTTTCCAGCTTTCACATTGCTATCACCAGTGATTATCAATGCATCTTGATAACACGTTTGATCAGTTTCAGACTGCAGAAGTTGGTAAAGATCTTTAATTTCTTCATATTTGACATTAGTGATTGGTGTGTAAATTTGAATAATAGTTGGATTAACTAGTCTTCTTTGTAGGTTTATGGATATTATCCTATCCTGTTGTACTTCAGGATAGATCTTGAAGTATTCTTTTTGACATTGAATGTGATGATATTCCTCTTTAATTTGTTATTCCTGGCATAGTAGCCCATATGATTATCTGGTTCAGAATGGCCAGTACCAGTTCATTTCAGCTTACTAATGCCTAGGATATCGATCTTTATGCTTTCCATTTCTTTTTTTGACAACTTCCAATTTTCCTAGAGTCATACTTCGTACATTCCACATTCTTATTATTAATGGATGTTTGCAGCTTTTCCTTCTCATTTTGAGTCATGCCACATCAGCAAAGGAAGGTCCTGAAAGCTTGACTCCATCCATGTCATTAAAGTTGACTACTTTGAGGAGGCAACTCTTCCCTAGTTGTATTTTGAGTGCCTTGCAACCTGAGGGGCAATCTTCTGGCCTTATATCAGGCAGTGTTCCACTGCTATTCATAAGGTTTTTACTGGCCGATTTTTTCAGAAGTAGACTACCAGCTCCTTTTTCCTAGTCTGTCTTAGTCTGGAAGCTCTGCCGAAACCTGTCCACCATGGGTGACCCTGCTGGTATTTGAAATACCAGTGGCATAGGTTCCAGCATCATAGCAACAGGAAAGACACCAAAGTAGGACAAACTGACAGACACGTGGTGATAAATACATTTTACATTAGATTCAGAATATGCATATGTGAGTATGTATAAGTAAGAGAAACAAAAGATTCTTAGAACAGTATGTACTTTTCCTGTGTGCATTGCATTCTAATATGTTCCCTATTTCATTAAAAAGTAATGCTGCTTGAGACTCTCTAGATTGATGTCACAAAAACCACACTGCCATAGAGGTTTTCTGTACACCAAAATTACTTTGTTCTCATCTTCCCCACCATCAGAATTCCTAGTTCTTCTTAGTACTGCACCATAGTTGGTTATAGCTGAGTATTAGAAGGAAAGCAACCTGTTTATTTGATTATAGTCATTATTATAGTCATTATTATTACAGCTATGTCAAAAGGTCTGGCCCTGTTTACTTTGAAACAGAGGAGTTGGAATGGAAGGCCAGGGTAGAAAGGGGCAAAGAAGTCTCTTTTTGAGAATGGGGAAAGGTAAAAAGAACAAAGACCAGGGGCAGTAACTTGGCACTTAACTTCCCAGTATTACCCCAGCCCCCCTTGGGTGAAGCTTGTGGCATGCATTCTCCCCTAAGTCACATTGCTGTCAGCCTTTTGGTCGTATCCTGCAGTCATCAAACTTTACAAACTGCCTCACAATCTTTCTTTTTCACCTCCATATCCTGAGATTGATTATAATGAGTAATTCAGTGTCCACGTGGATCATCTGTCCCATACTTTGCCTCACAGTTCTTTGACTTCTTCCACTTCACTACTTGCTTGTATACTCTTCAGTCTGAAAGCCCACCCTCACCCCTGGGTCTCATTATCACTTGAATTGCTCTACCTCTGAAGCCTGAAATTCCAGAGTTCCACCCTCTAAGTCAGAGTCCTTACTTACCCTTTTTTTGTGTCAAGCCAACCCACTGACGTCAAGTTGATTGGTTAAGAGCTAAGGCTGCTAACCAAGAGGTCTGCAGTTCGAATCCACCAGGCGCTCCTTGAAAATTCTGTGGGGCAGTTCTACTCTGTCCTACAGGGTTGCTATGAGTTTTTATGTCAAGGATCCCTTTTTTCAGTTTGGGAAGCCCATGAACCCTCTCAGAGTAATGTTCTTAAATGCATAAATTAAATAACATTAAATAACAAGATCCAGTGGTGAGTTTAATAATGATCATCATTTTGAAGTAGTGATTAGCATGAATGGTATTTCAAGATACCTGCAACAAGAGTAATGTGATATGAAAATATTGGTGATTTCTGTTGAGAAAGCCACAGGAACTGCTAATGCTGCTGTAAATTACTGCCAATGTTCATAATGGAAGGAAATGTTAAATTTTAATCAGAGATTAGTGAAGATAAACATGTAATTTTTATCCCAAAGCTCATGGACCCTGCTGTAAGAACCCTTGTTACAAGCACAGCCCGGTCATGCCCTTGCTTCCGTGCACTTTCTTTGACCTTGCCAATATTTTTTTCCCCCACGTTCTTTGTCTTTCAGCTCTTTCCTGGCCTACATGTATCTCTTTCCCTACCAGCTTAGACCTTATAATCTGTCACTTCAACCACTTTCTTATAAATGTCTTCTATCCCCTTGTCTCCATGTCCTTTAACTGAACCCATATGGCAAAACCCCAAGGTATCAATCTCCTATCCATCACCCATCCATTCTTTTTTTCCTATCCTTCTTGCCTCGCCCTTACTTCAGGCCCTTAGCATTCCTTTCCTGGGTTATTCCAGTGGCCTTTTGTTCCTAGTAACTCTTAACATGGACATCCTTCATGTTCTGACTGTGTAAGTACTCTGCTGTTCTTCCCATGAGCCCTGTGCTCTAGTAACCACCGTGAACTATTCATTTTCCCCCAAATATTGCTTGTTTTCTTAATCTTCTCTAATTTTGTACATGATGCCTTTTTGTTCTATGCCCAGAACATATTTTTCTTCGTTTTGGTCTTGCTGCTCTGTAATCCCCATTTCAGCACTCATTAAATGTTTATTGGATGGCTGCTGGATTGCTTCATGACTGACTCAGTGGGTGAAGGCTTCTTTCCAGGGCTTGAACTGAGTGATAATCCTGATGCAATGGGTTGATTGCAATGAACCCAAACCACCCATCCATGTTAAGAGGCGGGGATGGGATATGACCTATAAAAGCTGTTACATGTTTTTGGTTTTATGTTCGATCTAGAGGGTAAGTTCTGTGTATCTCTGTAATGTAAGGCAAGTTGTACAATATGGTTTTTTGGGTGTTACTAAGAAACAATTCTGTGGAACTGTTCTGTTCTTTTGTTTTGCTTTTCAGTATCAATAACATCAGCCATATCACTGAATCAGTAAAGGCAAAATGTGAAAGGAAAGGGGAGCCTTTCACTCTTCAGAGCGTTCAGAGGGTGAGAGGAGTGGAGTGATGGATAAGCTAGAGCAGTGGTTCCCACAGTGGGCCAAGCCATCTTGGAGAGATCACAGTTCTTACAGTGGGTTCAGGAATCCACACACACATTGCTGTTATCTGAATAATTAATGTGTGTCTGACGTAATTCGCAGCTATTTTTCAGAGGGTTCTAAATGCTGTTTTGGTTAATTAAACACAAATTCACTTTAAAGCATTACTGAGTTAATGTTAGTTTTTTGTTATTAGAGAACAACTACTATCCTTTGGCAGTTCACAGTATATCTTTTGTCCTTAAAAAGGGTCCATATATATAAAAGGTTAGTGACCAAAATGGTAGAGTATTTTTAAAATTTTAGAATACTTTCTTTTCTTTGAAAAAGATCTAAGTCAGCTTTATGTAAGTGCTAATATATTTTTGCCTCATTTATCTGAAGGTCAAATTCTGAACTCCTTGGAGTGTTGAAATTGACTTTTATGCTATTCACAGATCTAGTCATCCAGTAAATATTTAGTTGTCAAGCAGTTACCACATGCTAGGCTGTGGATGGAAAAAGATAGACATCGTTCCTGTCCTCCAGGAACTTACAGACTATAAAACATACAAATATTATCTACAATCGGAATAAGGGCCACCATGTACAGAAATGCAGGATGACAAGAGAACATGTAACAGGTGGACCTAAACTAGACTATTCAGGTCCTAGCCCATTTTAAAAATAGGATTGTTTTGGTTTTTTTCAAGTTACTCTTTTGTGTGTGTATGGTAAAATATATATAGCAAAAAGTTGGCAATTTTAAGTCATTCATTTTTAACTTAAATTTATTTAAAAGGAAATTTTATATTAATATTGTAAAAGGAAAACTAGTTTGACTTGCTGTAAATAGGAAACAGGTCTATAGTCCCTTATCTTAAACTCTGGGATCTATTTCAGAATTTAGATTTTTTTGGATTTTAAAAATGTAATATAGTATACATATCATCTGTTACATAACCCTCCTACTGGTATCTGAGGTAGAATTGCCTTAACCAAATACACTAATATTTTTCTCCAGTGTAATATCTGAATGTTCATGTTAAGTGGGATAAAGAATATACATAGCCATGTGTCAGTTCAGGTCAGGTTTTACTGCCAGATAAGTTTAGGTCAGGTTAGATTTTTCCTCTAAAAGAGTTACAAAAATGTTTTGTTTTCAGGGCTTTTTGAATTCCAGAATTGAAGATAAGGCAATTAAAGTGAGAAAAGGCAATAATTTTGAGTTCCAGTTAGATACTATTGCTTGCTGAAGTACTTGAACCTAATACCTGCACATCCTTTGTTGTAAAGGGAGATTAGTGAGGATCAGAGAGGTGTTAAGGGCACATTAGCTCCAAACTGAAACTTTCTGTCTTGATTTAAGCCTTATTAGACTATTAGGGTCTGTTAGACCTAACTTATTTTCTTGAGCAGTTCTAACTATTTGTAAGGATTAATATTTTATAACTTTTATTCCTTTTTAGAGGCCTTTAAAAAATGCTAATAAAATTCATTTTCTTGCAATTACCCAGATAGGTCAGCTGGACCCTTTTTAAGTCTAAATTATATTATAGGATCTTAGTGATTTTACTTTTCCAGTATCTTGAAATAATTTGCTATTTGATCATCCTAGGAATTTTTATAATCAGGATTTGCTTTATTATGATTATTATGAATAGCAAAGTTGAATTCTGTGATTGGATTTTTTTAATCTATGACTTGCGTCTTGATCCACGTGCCAGTGTTCAACAGATTCCCTTTCTCACACTCCCAGCAACTGTTCAAAACCAGGCCACATCCAAGGTTGCTTCATATTTGAAGCATGCTTTTCTTGTCCAGTTTGAAATGTTTGTTTTTCCCTGTAGTTTCAGTTTGTTATTGTTTTTTCTTTGGGCTGTAGAAATGGATGCCTTCCACATCATGTTGTTAAATTTCCTCCAGCTTCTTAATCCTCTATTGCTTAGAATCCATTCCATTCCGTTTGAAGTGTACTCACTTTCTATTCTAATTTGGAAGATTTGCCTCCCATTTGAGCCATTCTTGTACAGTTTACCTTTCCTTAAGTTTTTACTTGCCTTTCTTTCCTTTTTAAAAAATGCATCCTGTGCCTTTTGTCATTTCCTAAAGTTTGTGTTGCTTTTGTCTTTTTAGGGATGCAATAACTTCTTAAATATTTCTGAGGATTTTCAGATTTTTAAATTCTTTTCTGTTCTGTGAATTATCTATTTCCTTGGGAGTCAAGTTTTCATTTTATCTGAGGCTTTTTTGCTGACATTGCATGCTTTCCGCAAAGGATGCTTTTTAGCTGCCCATTTAGACTGGCTTGCGCTGTGAGCTGGTGAGCTGTGGGGTGAAAGTCAGCCATCCTGCCAGGGGATCCCCAGATTCCACAGAGTTAGGAGTGACTCTAAATATGCACCTGCAGGCGCACATTGAGAATCATGGAGGCCACGAGGTAGAAGTAGGGGAAGTTTATGCGCAGTCGCAAGGCCAGGTCGAAGAAGGTGAGCAGCGCGCGAGTCAGCCACTTGAAGAAGGCACCATAGGAGCCGTGGATTGCCAGGGCTGCCGCTGATGCCGCCATAAGTCTAGAGTTGTCTCCCACACAGTGCCCAGAGTCCAGAGTCGCCAGCAGATCCGCGGACCCACCGACCAATCCCTAGAAATTATTTTATCATTACTTATCATTTATTCCTAATTATGGTTAAAAAAAGACCAGTAGGAAAACAGAAGAATGATGAAATCGTCTAACGTTTTTATATTATCTTTCAAGAAAAGGTATAAAAGACACACATCTTTGTATTTTTTTTTAAGCTTTCATTGAATACAGTTGATGAATCAGAATTTTTGTATTTTTTGCCCATAATGGTAAAGAGAAGAAAATTGCCAGTATGTTAAACAATTATTTAGACAAATTGGAAGACGAATGCAAAGAGACAGCTAACAACACACTCTAGAGCAGCTCTATCTAACAGAAATGTAATGCAGTTAACACGTTATTGTTGTCAGGTGCCGTCGAGTTGGTTCAGATTCATAGCAACCCTGTGTACAACAGAAGGAAACGCTGCCTGGTCCTGCGCCATCCCCACAGTCGTTGTTACACTTGAACTCATTGCAGCCTCTGTGTCAGTCTATCGCATTGAAGGTCTTCCTCTTTTTCGCTGACCCTCTACCAAGTAATCATCATACGTAACTTTAAATTTTCTAGTAGCCACATTAAAAAAAAAAAAGTGAATTTAATTGTAATAATATATTTTATTTAACCTATTGTTAGGTGCCATTGATTCGGTTCCAACTCATAGCGACCCTGTGTACAACTGAACAAAACACTGCTCAGCCCTGTGCCATCCCCCTCCCCATGCCCATTGTTTTAGCCACTCTGTCAGTCCATCTCGTTGAGGGTCTTCCTGTTTTTTTCACTGACCCTATACCAAGCATGATGTCCTTCTCCAGGGACGGATCCTTCCTGATAACATGTCCAAAGTATGTAAGCTGTAGTCTTGTCATCCTTGCTTCTAAGGAGCATTCTGGTTGTACTTCTTCCAAGAGAGATTTGTTCGTTCTTTGGCAGTCCATGGAATATTCAGTATTCTTTGCCAGCACCACAGTTCAAAGGCGTCAATTCTTCATCTTTCTTATTCATCGTCCAGCTTTTGCATGCATAGGAGGCGATTGAAAACACCATGGCTTGCATCAAGTACACCTTAGTCTTCAGGGTGACATCTTTGCTTTTTAACACTTTAAAGGGGTCTTTTGCAGCTGGTTTGCCCAATGCAATGCATCTTTTGATTTCTTGACTGCTGCTTCCATGGATGTTGATTGTGGCTCCAGTAAAATGAAATTGTTGACAACTTCAGTCTTTTCTCCATTTATCATGATGTTGCTTATTGGTCCAGTTGTGAGAATTTTTGTTTTCTTTATGTTGAGGTGTAATCCATACTGAAGGCTGTGGTCTGTGATCTTCATCAGTAAGTACTTCAAGTCCTCTTCACTTTCAGCAAGCAAGGTTGTGTCATCTGCATAACACAGGTTGTTAATGAGTCTTCCTCCAGTCCTGATGCCCTGCTGTTCTTCATACAGTCCACCTTCTTGGATTATTTGCCCAGCATACAGATTGAATAGGTATGGTGAAAGGATACAAACACCTTTCCTGATTTTGAACTACACGCTATCCCCTTGTTCTTTTAGAATGACTGCCTTTTGATCTATGTATAGGTTCCTCACGAGCACAATTAAGTGTTCTGGAATTCCTGTTTCTTCGCAATATTATCTATATTTAACTTAGTATATCTAAAATATTATTGTGTAATCAATTTAAAATTATTTATGAGATATTTTGCATTCCATTTTTCATACTACATCTTCAAAATATGGTATGTATTTTTCACTTACAGCATATCTCAATTCAGACCTGCCACATTTCAAGTGCTCAATAGCTACATATGGCTAATGGTTACCTTATTAGCACAACTCTAGACTAAAGATGATGGTGAAATTGATCATATAACAGAAATTTCAGGCTATGAATTTTCAGATGATAATATTCTAGGTTAATTTTCTCAAATTCAAGGATCAATAAGGGAAAGATGTATTTTTAAAGAGAAAAAGGAAATAATATGTGGTATTCTTATCAAGTAAGTCATTCAACAGGAAGGACTTCATCCTATAATTTATAATAAGCATGTGAATCATCCATTTAGCTAAAAGGACACATGACAGTATTCTTTCATTTTCTGTGATATTTGTGTACCAAAATTTATTCAATTCATAAGTGGATAAGTGCTGAAGGTAGTGTTTACAAGGTGATTAGAAGGAAATAGATGATGTTGAAATGAAAAAAGTCACTGAATTTATCATTTGAATGTTTGTTTATAAGCCTGCGGATGAAAATGTTTTACAGTTGTGGTACAAAGAAAATACAAAGAACCCAGGTATAATCTATCAGAATTTTCAAAAATATTGCATTTGATGATGCAAATGCAAGAGAGAACCAGAAGTAACGAATGATAAGCTAGAACCTACTAGAGATAGATTTTTTCAATTTGAAATCAGTACTTACAAGATGGATATGTTCTGGGTTCATGCTTGACAGCTGATGAGCAGCTAGTTTCATTCAAAGGACAGTGCCCATTTCGGGTGTATATAGCTTCAAAAACCTGGAAAATGAGTAAAAATTTGAGTTTGTTATGTTTCTTTTCTTATTTAAATTTCTATAAAATTGTGCTACATTATCCTGTTACTTTGTAAATTTTTCATAAAATGGCTTAAAACTAAACATTGTAAATGGTCCATTGGACCTAGGTAGTAAATGAGGTTGACTATTTTTCCTGGTATGCTGAGGATTAATCAGAAATGTTTCTAAGAAAATTGAAAAGGAAATAACTTTTCCACTATGATTCATTATTATTTATTAATGCGTAAATATTTCACTGAATACCACCTCCTATGCTGCGTAAAATTATCTCAAGTGTGTCTCAGTCTTGGGAAACACTCTTATAAATGGTTGAAAGAATAAGCAGTTGGATTTGAAGTTACCATGGCAGACTGAACACATGCATTAAATCTTGTTCCTTCCCCAAAACCCCGCTCAACTATGGTAAAGGAACTTTTAGAAAAGACATAAATCCATAAACAGGAGAGGAGACAACAGTAACAGATTTTCAAAGCTGGAAAACAGATGTTTGAGGTGACTGACTTAGCAAATCCCAGAGGCAAATCCCAAATTGGCAGTGAGAAAAGCACCAGGTACCTCTGGAACCAAGGGTGAAGGGACAGGTACAAAATAAAGAGGTTTAGGTGGGAGCTGTTTGAAAACCAGTTAGACCCCTGGATCCTCTGCCACTGGTAACTGCCCCTCCCCCACTCCAGCAGAAATCTGGAGGCTTATCCTCTAGAGAGGGTTGAACACAGGATCTCTGGACTGGGAGCATCCAGATACAGTTGTGAGTACTGTACTAAAAGCATGGGGATACTAAATGGTGAGCTCAAAAGCTCTGTTCCCCTCTTGGCTCCCAGGGGCTAGGCCTGCCAGACAGGACCCTGGAGACTCTTCTCTGGGAACTCTGACTGATCTAAGAAGAAAGATCTAAATTGACTAAGTTGGGTGTTCCTCCTGAAATGCCCATGCAGATCACCTGTGGTGAAGCCTGTTGTCAATAATCTCCAACCGTGCACTCAGAGCTTTCTAGGGAGGCCCCACTCTTAGTCATGAGCCAAGGATCACCAGCTTTCTGATGAAAATCTCTAATGCAGAAGGTGAAGATCAAAAGAAGCAAAGAGGAAAAGCAGCTTGGAGGAAACAACAAAACAGAGCAGAGCAGCTATCATAATCCTCAGAAATAAGAGGATACTGTGATTTTGAAACAAAAATAGGATGCTAAGATCAAAAGGAACACGCAGATGACATAAAAGAGCCCTTGAAATTAAAAGCATGATGGCAGAAATCATTTTAATTTTTTTTTAGTTCTTACGGTGTTTACATTCATAACTAAATAATATGCTTAGACTGTGATTTCTTGATTGACACTTTAGATGTTATCTTACCATAAAAGATTAACATGTATTTCTTTATCTTCACTTCTCTCTTCTCTCAATAGTTATATCACTTGTAAAATTCATTATTTACTTTTACCCTGTAAAAGATATATTTAAATCTCTATTTCTTGTTCTGTCAGCTATAAGTAGGATAATTTTCACTTGTCAGTGCTCATTCTCTCCCAACCTACTCCTGCTCACAGATGTTTTATCATCTAGAATCAAAAAGGAAGATACACTAGTTTGGTAAATAACTTTATTTACAAGGTTGTTGAATTACAGCCTTTTTTTAGAGGGCAGGTCTGGGTCCCGGTAACTGCTGAAGTAGCTGAACCTCTCTCCTACATTATTTGTCAAATCTTTTTGATTGTGACCCACAATAAGAAATATATTTTACTATGTGCCTGCTTACATATATATATATAAAATCTTAATCCTTTGGACTAAATTGGCTTCTTGATAATCTGAACTAATGTGTTTTCTTTCTTGGTCTAGGCAGTTGACAAGTACTTCAAGCTTCCTCATGTTTCAAGTAAACCACCTCGGATTTCAGGAAGCCTTGTGGACACTTCTTATAAAACATTAAGATTTGCATTTAGAGCATCACTAAAAACTGCCATCTATCGAATAACTACTACTTTTGGTGAACATCTGAAGTAAGTTTACCTCTTTTGATCTATGACAGTAGTCCACTTTCAGGAGTTCCCCTTGAAATAGGTGTGAGAATTATAAAGGCTGTCATGTTGAAAGTGTTTTTTGGGGGTCTTTATGATTCGTACAGTGAATTAACAGCTTGGATTTAGACATAATATTTATATTTTAAAATTTGGCCTATCATATAAGCTTTGGGACTTTCTTTTCAGATGGACAAAAGAGAGGATAGAAAGTTTTGAAAGCAGCAAATATATATATATATATATCTTTAAGAAAGAAAAAGGGGATGGGGAGGGAGTACCTTTCCAGAAAAACATATTAAAAATAATTCTGTTATTACATCTTGGTTAGCAAACTAAGGCTTGGGGTGAGCAGAGTATCCCATAAATGAGTCCTTGATGCTTTGTGAATCATGCTGGAAAAACATTGACAGATCACAACACCTTTAGAAACAGCCAGAGAGAAAACCACAGATGCCAAACCTGTTTATATTTAGTTTTATTGATGTTTCCTGCTTTTCCTAGCTAGGCAGGATGAGGGAAACTAGTTTATTAACTAATGTTTATCTTAATTATAATTGAGCTTTAGATGAGAGAGTGCTCTCTTTTTTCTGTATGCAATCAGTGTACAGTTTAGAGCTTCTTCATACCACCTGCTTTGAGAAACAGTTGCGTAGATGTACTACAGAAGAGCTGTGGATGATCCTCTGTCCTTAAGAGGTTTATGAGCTTGCTTAAAAACAAACACACAAACCTACTATTTATTGAGTGCCTTCTGGACATGCACTGGCCTATATCTTAGCCATGTATGGCTATTTAAATTTAAATTAATTAAAGTTAAATAAGATGAAAAATTCATTTTTGTCAGTCATGCTAGCTGCATTTCAAGCACTCAGTAGCTGCATGTGGCTAGTGGCTAACGTATTGAACAGCACAGATAGAGTACATTTCCAATATAGCTGAAGTTCTATTGGACAGTGTTGTTCTAGACAATAAGCTTAGCACTTTATATATGTTTTTCATTTATACTTTTCAAATAGCCTGTGAGGTGTAGAAATGATCATAATTGTACCTGTGTGGAAACTGAGGCTCAAAGAGGTTAAGAAGTTGCCTAATAGCACAGTCTAGTGAGTGATAGAACATAAACTTGAAATTGGGTCTTTCTTGCTCTTAAAAAGCCACCTTCTTTTCTTCTACAACACTAGACTGCCTTTAAGATGTAAAATGGCACCCAGGGTACTCTCAAAAAATACTCATTGATGAATTTAGAGTATGGAATAGATGTTATATTGATGATAGATCGAAAGCAGAGAGAAAAGAGAAAAATAGAGATTTATTAGATAAGGAAGATAACTAGATGACTGATAAATTCTGCCTTCGTTTATTATCTCTGAGAAGAAATGCATATTTATATGCATTAAAATTGAGGATGTTAGTAAAAACTAGTTTGTGCAAATATAGGACAAAATGGTATGGTGGAGAGAATGTTATATTTGGACTTAAAATATCTGGATTTAAGTGTGGTTACATCATTGACTATCTGTGATTTGTGGGCAAGTTACCTAATGATTTTAAATAACTTGTCTGAAATTATGTAGCTAGTAAGTGGCAGAACCAGAGTTCAGGTCCAGATCTTTCTGACTCTTGAGTCCTATCTGTAGTGCTCTACTCTTAACCGATAGACTGTGTTATCTTCCTAACCTCTGCGATACTGTTTACTCTTCTGTAAAAAGGGGAGATTATTAACCCCACTGCTTCATTTGATGTTAGTAGAGATAAAACGGGATCATACTTACGTAAAACCCATTGTACATGATAAAATATTGCGACAACAACTATTATTATATAACACGTCCTTTGTTCACTACCCAAAGCTTGATCTCCAAGAACCAGGTATAAGTAATCTCTTGAGCCGTGAAAATTAACACAGGTCTTTGGAGGCACTTAATTCAGCACTTTTAATTAGGCAAATTTGGTAAACAGGTTTTCCAGCCTACAACATATTAAAATTTACTTGAGGGGAAGAGATTACTGCTAGAGTCAGGAGTACTAACAATAGTAAGGAATAGTTCACTGCTGCTAGCAGAGGGCAGAGTCATGGGAAAAGCAGCAGACTGGAGTTTAAGAGAGCTTGGTGCCATTTAGTTAGAGACGGGCAGCCTCACAGGCACTTAGGGGGCATCTTTGTACAGTAAAATACTTGAAATGGTTCAGTTAGACGCAGCTAGTGGTTTAAGAAAGCAGAGATATGTGTATAAGGCATTTTAGGATGATTTCTAGCCAAATTATTAAAATAAAACTTGTCGCTTTTAAAAAAGTGGTGACCTTTAGTTATCTGGAATTTTATCATTCAGTAATGATATATTACTATTCAAGAACCAGAAAACCAAAATCTTTTATTGGATTCAATTTTTATCCAAAGTTTAAAAGGAAGTTTTATATTAGTTTCAGTATATATTTGCCCTAATTCTGTCAAGGTAATATATTTTTGTGGGGTCAAGGGTAGGGAGAGAACTCAGTTTCCCCATCCAAGACTAAGCTATGTTCAAAGGGAAAAGTAAATCTAAACCACCAAGCTGTTACCTTTGAAAACGATTAGTGGAGTCTATTGTGTTTTAACCAAACATTTTAGTTTAAAGGATTTTATATTAAAGGCAATTCAGATACTCCACAACTCAAAGATAATGTTGGGATCTGGTTTAAATAAAATAATAAAATCCAGAAAATCTAGTGCGGGGGCTGGAACTCTGCACAGCAGGTTCCACAGCAGAGCAGGTTAGAGCTGATGCCTTCACTTGTCAGTCTTAATTTTCTTTGGTCTTTTAGAAGGTAGAAACATGCTATTACTGAATGCAAGCCCTCCTCATTAGATTAAGGGGGTTTTCATCCAACTTTTTTCATAAATACTAAATAAGTGAAGACTTCTATTCATTTTTAATTGTTTTGAAAAATATTGACTCTGTGCTCTGTGGTTCACTTAATATGCTTAATGTAAAAATAAAGCTTATGCTTTGAATTTATGTTTCATTTAGTGCTGTGCAAGCATCTGCAGAACATCAGAAAAGACTTCAACAGTTCTTGGAGTTCAAAGAATAGTTAAGTAATATAAACTGTGTTCATTACACTGCTGATACAACTACAGATGGGACAGTAAATATTCAGCATTCTTGGATCAGAAGAAAATGGACTAATTAGATGTTTCCTTTGTCGTGGTGGTTGCTTTGAAAACTATACTTTAATGGGAGAAATCATGGAAAGAAATTCTCAACAGAATAACCAAAAACTGCCTTTTCTGTATCGATTGCTTTTTGTGTGTGTGGTATAATAAAGTCTTTATTCAATTTTACAGAAGCATCTATGGCAGTAGAAATGTCTCTAGGTCATATAACTTAATAAGAATAACTTGAAATTTTTTAGAATTTACTTTTGAGAGGAGTGGAGCCAGTTCGGAGGGTAAAATAGTTTTATTTGATACAGTCTTCCTTTCTAATCATTCTCAGAGTTTAGCTCTCTCTAAACACAAAATACATACATTTTTAAGAGTAGTTTCTGTTTACTGAAGGATAAAAATGGTAACAGTGGAGAAAAACTCACAGAAAAAATATTGTCTGAAGGACATATTTTGTTAATCTGTTAGGTTATGTTTTTGTTTCCAGGGACAAATTGAATTTGCATGATTGTCCAAAAAAAGGTCTCAATTTACAGATGCTAACTCTATATAAAGGAATGTGGAAAAATTCAGTTCTTAAGTTACAAGATTAAACATGCACATTTGGTTTTTGAAAAACAATTGTCTGACATCTATGAATTTATTTTGTATCATGCTAGTGAACATTAAGTGTATGGATATTTTCCTAACTAGTTTTGTTTTCTTTTTTCTGGAACAAAATACTAAGTGATTGCGGAGTTTTTCAAGTGAGAGAAAAAGTTTTTCAAGAAAAGCCAGGAAACTTTTCTTTTCCCTTCCCACTCTTCATCTTCTTTAGATCAAATTATTTTGCAAAGCTTGTCTGGCTACACAGAGGGAGCAGCCTCTGCTACAGTAACTGGCTAATTAAAATATATTAGGAAAATCTTTACAGCCAGAAACAACTTAGTCATCAAATAGCAAGTGAAACCAAAACGTCAGGGATTACTGTACTTGGGAGTATGTTCTATGTCCAAAATGTGAGTGAGGTAATTTTATAATTTATTAGATCAACTTCTTTGGAGATGAAAGATTAGAAATCCTACTGGTAGCTATTCACTGGACTAGCTTTAGACTGAACACTCCCTTGTAATTCTTTTCTTATAATTTCTTCTCTTTAGTGCCCCCAATTTTTTTCTTTAAAGTCAGCACAGTATTGTATATGAATCTTTAATGTGGTATATATGTCTGCCATTTGTCTGATTCCTTGATGTATTATATCTTCAGAATAGAATATTTCAGCTCCAGGTCCTATTGCCCCTTCAACCAGCACATGCCAAATTATAAATGAATCCTGCTTGCCTTTCAAGTGTCTTTATCAGACAGTTTCCCAATTATCAAGTGTTTTCGGGTTTTGAGGCTATTGCCATTTGCCTTTTTTTTTTTTGCTTTGTGTCTGAGGTTAAGTTGATCTCTTTCTTGAATGTGAAATTGAATTTCATATGTGATAGTCTCTTACAGATGACCAGAAAATTGTGTCTAGGTTGACTGACAACTATTGTGTCCCATATTTTAAAGCCGTTAGGCTTTTTATATTCCATTTTCTCTGCTGCCCTTGGCTGAGGCATTTTGGGAGACAAAGACCTTAGCCCTCTGTTTCCATTAAAGAAGATCTGTGGTATTTAACCCATTGCTTTCCTGAGGCTGAAGATGGGATGATTCCTTTAAACTTTGACCTACTCAGATGAAATACCTGGCTAGGTTTAGATTCTTGCCATTTCCCAGATATTTTGGGCAAAGTATGTTTGATGAGCAATGTGGATGTTTCTGAGGTGTTCATCCCTGTTTTTTCTCAAGAGAATGTGCTGTGGACAAAATGCAGGCCACATAATTCCTGCCTGTTGGAAATTTAGAAACTGTCTCCTCAAATCTGTGTTGTACTTAGTCAGTAAGGGGGACAGTTCTTTTTCATCATTTTGTATTGATAATTTATTCACCACCTTTTTGGGCTAGAGTATGGCTCGGTTACCTGTTAGGAAATGAAACTCCTCCTGTGTGCAAGGAGAAGGACTTAGGGAGGCCAAGAGGAGAGAAGCATTTCCTTTGATGAGGTCTCAGCCTCCCTCTGAGCCTGCTAATGCTATAACATTGGCCAGAAAATTAGAAATTGTTCTTTAAAAGCCTTTCTCTGGCTGTTAGTATAAAACATGATTGCCGTAGCTCTTGTAATGTTTCCTTGGCCCTTATGGAAGGTCTAAGTCCACGTAGCTTCTCTTCAGAGAACTGGGGAACTCCTAGAATAAACCTGGTACAGTTCAGTGAACATTGATGAGCAACAGCTTGTTACTTTGCTGAATTTCTTTCTTGGTAATTGTTTTATGTGTCTTCCTGTAAATATTTATGAGACTCTGTTTATATCCTTTTGTATCATCAATACTGAATTGGGTAGAAAAATAAATTGACAGTTTTTAAAAATGAGACTGCTAATTGCAATTTGTGTGTCTATAAATTCAGTTATTTAATTTCTGGGATGTGTGTGTGTGTGTGTTTCCTTACCCATTTCAGTTCAGTCTCACAGTCTTTGCTTATAAAAACTAAAAAGGTTTAACTTCTTGAGAAATCAGCTTTTGCCCGTAGCTGGACTAATTTGGTGGATAATCTGTGTTTGATGGTAACTTTGAGGAGACTGATTTCTAATTCTCTTCATCATCTTGGTTGTCTTTCTTCCAAAATTAAACGCAAGGGTGCTGGTGCTGAAAGCCAATCTCTTAACAGAGGTTTCTTTTCTCTCCAAAATAGTGATTCTAAATGGATCATATTTCCTCAAGCTAGCAGTTACTTCTGTCAACTTTACTTAGTCTGAACTCTACCTCTGGTACTAACTAAGGCCGTTAACTCCCTGTCTTTCTCTCCCAACCCCATAGTCATCTTCCTTTAAAACCAAATAGCTTAATTAAAACAAATATAGCTTTAATTCATCAGTGAACAATCCAATTATTCTTAGTAAGCTGCTGACCACCATTTTTAAATAAGCAAAATTTTTATTGTTTTGAGGGGCAAGAAGGGGAATGAACAAGCATATACCCCTTTAATTCTCAGTCAGTGTCCTAAGCAGCCTTGGCAGTTGTACAAGTTGATGTGGTTGATGTGGAGCTAACTGAAACATTCACTAGGTGTCTATTATGGCCTAGCTATTAGGAATAGGGAGCCCCAGTGGTATAGTGGTTAAGAGCTTGGCTGCTAACCAAAAGGTCGGCAGTTTGAATCCACCAGCCGCTCCTTGGAAACCCTATGGGACAGTTCTACTCTGTTTTATACGGTCACTATGAGTTGGAATCAACTCGATGGTAATGGTTTGTTTTTTTTTTTTTTTTCCCTATTAGGAGTAGCTTAAACTGAATAAGACGCAGTCCCTACCCTCAAGAAGTTTATAATCTAATACAGTGGCGTTTGAAACTTGGTGTGCACTGGAATCCCCAGGAGTGCTTATTAGATGTGCAGACTCTGGGCTGCACTTCAGATTCTGATTCAGGAGGTCTGGGCTGGATCCCAAGAGATGTAGTTTTTAACAAAGTGTACCAGATCGTTCTAAGCAGGTGGTCTGAGGAACACACCCTGAGAAGGGTTTATTCTAGGTCAGTGATTCTCAAACCTTAGTTAGTATGTATCAGAATCACTTGGAGAGTTTGTGAAACACAGATTGTTGGGCCCAATCTCCGGAGTTTCTGATTTCTGTAAGTCTGGGTTTGGGCCCAAGAGTTTGCATTTCTAACAAGTGTCCAGGTGATGCTGATGTGGCAGGTGTGTCCTTGGAGCACACGGTGAGAACCACTGTCCGAGTGGATTTTCTTGCACGTGGTATTCTCTTAGATGTGTGTCTGAAGCATATGTACTATTTTTGTTGTCAAATATATGAAATACTCTTTTCTTCCTAAATTTCATTTATTTTGTTGTTGTGGAGAATATACACAGCAAAACATACACCAATACAGCAGTTTCTACATGTAAATTGAGTGTTACTGATTTCATCAAGTTGTGCAACCATTCTCACCCTCCTTTTCTGAGCTTTTCCTCCCCTATTAACAGAATCACTGGCCCCAAGTTTCCTATCTAATCTTTTGAGTTGCTGTTGTCAGTTTGATCCCAAATAGATAGTTCTTAAAAGAGCATAATGCTTAAGGCAGGGTTTTTTGTTATGTTTTGTGTTTTACTGGTTGAAGCTACTGTTTGGTTTTAATAAGACTTCAGGGGATATTTTTGGTTTACAATTTAAAGATTATCTTGGGGCAATAGTTTTGAAGGATATGTACTATTAATAGCTATAAGTAGAGTTCTTCCTTCTGATTAATTTGCTGCAAAGCTTGAAGAATACTGTTAGATCTCATAGCTAATGCAGAAATGCTGACAAATAATGTGGACCTGTTTTTGTAAAACCTGTTTCAGAAATGCGAACGAGTTTGTCATCTTCCTGGCAAACTTCTCTTTCTTCAGAATGAGCTTAGTCTTCCCAAATACTCCCAGCTAGATTTTGATGTGTTTTCTCAATACTTGGTCATTCCTTCTTTTTTGGCCTTACCATATTGAATTGTAACTTAACTGATTATGAATCTGTTTCCTCTCCTGTGAGCTCCCCTAACAATAGTATTCCAATAAATAAGTGAAAATTAGCAGTCCTTTCCAAGGTTACTTTAGTTTTTCATTTTTAGCAGACATAGGTCCACCATCCCTTATCTGCAATTCTGAAATCCAGAGGTTTTTTTAATAACAATTTATTTGGCAGCAAAACCTGACCTGAACTGATGTGAGGCTGTTTATAGTCTTAACTCATCCCACTTAGTATGAATATGCTTACATTTCACTGTAGAATGTTTGATTATGAGGTACTTTTCTAGACCCCACTGGGGGTGTTATGTAATATGCATCATTATTACCTTTCTAAAATATGTAACACTCTTTATTATGAAGCATCTGGCGTCAGGAGTCTAAGATGAGAAATTTTAGACCCGTTTTTGTTAAATCTGTTAACTTTTCAGCATTCACTCATTGCCTGCCATGTATCAGGCCCTGTGATAGTTACTAGTGGTACAAAGTCACAGAGCTTGCCCTCAAAGAGCTCACCATCCTGCGTGAGAGAGGTAAGGTAGAGGCAATCCTTGTTTGCAAAGAATCTTTTTTTTACTTATTTACAGAAGTGTTTTTTTTGCTATTGCTATCTCGTTTACTGAACAGCTACTCTGTTCCTCACCTGTTCTAAGCAGTAGCTGTTGCTTGCATTTGTGCTTTAAGATACAGAATATTTCTTTACCCAACTCCTTTATGAACCCTTTTCAGAACTTAACACAGCATGCCCTTGGTGTCCCGGTGCTAGCCCTCTGTCACCTGCTTATTTTGCAGGGCTGTGTGGCTGCATCTTGTCCTCAAGTGCTCATGTTCTCCCTGCACACACATATGTTATCAGATACTGTTGAATGTGTCTTGAAAGTGATCTTGGTGGTAAAGTAGTTCTGGAAGGCCTATGGGATGTCTCTGGCAAAGAAACATTGGAAGGTGACTTCTACTCTACAGACCTTTACCTTGCTAGTCTTTAGAAGGTATATTGACTCTTGATTGGTTTATCCTTTGTATCTCTCAACCCATTAGTAATAAGAGGGGTCTACAGTCTTGAAAAAATATTAAACACTAGTCCCTTGGGAGGAGCCCTGGTGGCGCAAACGGTTAAATGCTTGGCTGCTAACCAAAAGGTAGACGATTTGAACCTACCCAGTGGCTGCATGGGAAAAAGACTTGGTGATCTGCTTCCGTAAAGATTATAGCCAAGAAAACCCTATAAGGCAGTTCTACTCTGTCACGGGGTTGCTATGAGTCAAAATTGACTCGATGGCACCTAACAACACAAAGTCTCTTGGGACACAATCCCCACCTCAAGTTAGCTTAAGGATAAAAGGGGAGCTGTTCCTAAGGGCACAAGGATGTCTTAGCTTCTAGGCCACATGAAAAACCTGGAAGGCTGTCAGGATCTCTAAAGTTCTTTCTGCATTAATGTTGTAATCTCCCTGCTAACTGGCTTTCTACCATTCCCTCTAGATGCCTTCTAGCTCCTGAGTTTATATGTCATAAATAGAAACTGACCAGTTATTTCTAAATGCCAAACAAAATTCCTGATTGAAAGAAATTAGCCCAACTGAATCCATTATCCAAAGCTCTAACGAGGCTTGAGGGACAGGGTCATGCAGTACCAACACGGCCTTCAGGAGCTTACCTTTGTTGATCAGAATGGGGTGGAGGTAAGGGGCAGTTCCCAGACCCTCCCAGGATTAAAAAACAACAACAACAGAAAAAAACCCTGTTGCTGTCGAGTCAATTCCAACTCCTATAGCAACTGTGTAGGACAGAGTAGGACTGCCCCATAGGGTTTCCAAGGAGCAGCTGGTGGATTCGAACTGCCAACCTTTTGGTTAGCAGCCAAACGCTTAACCACTGTGCCACCAGGGCTCCCCGCCTAGGATAGGGGACAAAATCTGGGGTTCAGGACCTACAAGGAGGGGGCTGGTAAATCTTGCTTTAGACTGAGATCTCATAGGGCTGCGCTCTAGGAAGAAGGACTCAACCCACGTGGGAATTTGAGTCTAGTTAGAATCTTCATTAAATTGAATTGAGATGATCTCTGCTAGTGTTTCCAGGTCCTAACAGAAGCTATCATAAATCTTCTCTGGAGAGAAATAACACCCTAGGCCTCAATTTTCTACAAACAAGGTTTCAGATGCAATGTCTGCACACAATTTAAAAATAACCAGGCACAGGAAGAGACAAGACAACATAAATGAGAACTGACAAAAGCAACAGGCATTAGAATAGACTCATAGGAACTCCAGATATTTGAGTTATCTGGCAGATTTTTAAATAAGATCACTGTGATGAGTGAGGAGCTCTGGTGGTGCAGTGGTTAAGTGTTCAACTGCTAACTGAAGGGTCGACCAAGCCACATCATAGTAAAAGTGCTAAAAACCAAAAACAAAGCCTTAAAAATAGCCAAAACCAACAAACGAAACCTGTTGCCACCAAGTCGATTCTGACTCACAGCAACCCTACAGGACAGAGTAGAACTGCCCCATAGGGTTTCCAAGGAGCAGCTGGTGGATTCCAGCTGGCGACCTTTTGGTTAGCAGCCCAACACTTAACCACTGCAGACTGCTTTCAATTGAGCAACACTTAGACAGCTAAGCTAACTTCTCAACAAAAACAATTGAAGTCAAAAGACAATGGAATGATTATTTTAAAGTGCTTAAACTACAAAGGAGCCCTGGTGGTGCAGTGGTTAAAGTGCTCATCTGCTAACCAAAAGATTAGCAGTTTGACCCCACCAGCCACTCTGCGGGAGAAAGATGTGGCAGTCTGCTTCCATAAAGATTTACAGCCTTGGAAACCCTGTGAGGCAGTTCTACTTTGTCCTATAGAGCCCCTATGAGTTGGAATCGACTTGATGGCAGTGG